CAGTTGTTCCTTCTCAAACCTGCAGTAAAACATATTGAGGTCATCTGCTAATTGACAATTCTGTTCAGCCAGGAGTGGTGGGTTGTTGTAGCCGATGATGTTCTTCAGGCTTTTCCACACAGTCAAAGGATCATTTGCTGAAAACTGACTTTTCAGCTTTTCTGAGTAGTTTCTCTTTGCTGCCTTAATCTCTCTTGTGAGTACATTTCTAGTCCAATTATACATAATCCTGTCCCCATTCCTATGGGCCTCCTCCTTGTCATGACGCAGCTGTTTAAGTTTTGCTGTGAACCACGGCTTGTTATTATATATACATATGTTTTTGGTGGGCACACATATGCCCTCACAAAAGCTAATGTACGAAGTCACAGCATCAGTATACTCATCCAGATCTGCAGAGGCAGCTTCAAAAACATTCCAGTCTGTGCACTCCAAGCAGGCCTGTAGATTTAACTTAGCATCATCAGACCATATAAAATATTAATAATACTATTTTGATAGCTGGAAGGAAGACTTAAGGGATCTGTTGCTGAAGGTGAAAGAAGAGAGTACAAAAACTCAGTATTAAAAAAAAACAACGAATACTACGTGAATGGGCAAAGCCAATAAACTTAAAAAAGCAGAGAAGAAATTGAAGTAGTAACAGATAATCTCCCTAAGCTCAAAAATTCACAGGAATTATGATTGTAGCCAAGAAATAAAGAAACAAATGCTATCCTGGAGTCAGACTATGCAATCTAGGAAAAAAATATCAAAGCGCGGAGACGTTACACTGATAAAAAGACTCCCATCGTCAAGGCCTTGGTTCCCCAGTTGCATGAAAGCTGGACCATCAGAAAGACTGAAGAAAAATCAATGCCCTTGAATAGTGATGCTAAAGAAAGTTGTTGAGAATATGTTGGACTACAAGAACAAAGAATTCAGTATTGGATGATATGAACTCTGACGTACTCCAAAGTGAATTCAAGCAAAACCTTAAATATTTTGAAGACATAATGCGAAAGCCAGAGTCATTGGAGAAAAACCCGATGCTTGGAAAAACTGAAGAGGGCACAGAAGACAAAGTGGCTAGATATTTCCAATACTGACCCTTCTTTCTTTGAGCTGTAAGTACTGTAATTCTGAAATTTTCTGAATAGGCCAAGCAAATATGCAAGATATTTTATATACTTTTACGTAAAGGTAAGCCATGATTAAACACTAATAATTAATTGTAGATTTGGTATGTAAATGTAATGGAAGAATTATATTTATTAGAGAGGGGTGGGTTGTGAACGTCTCCAAATTAGGAGCGTGGAGGTGCCTCCCTCAAAAATAATGAGGTTTTCCCCCTTAAGATTTCAAAAGTTTGGGAACTTCTTCATCTTTACCTTTTGAGAAAGTTCTCTTATGACTGATGTTTTTAGAAGACAAGCAATTTCCTGGAAATTGAAAGTGGCTCGGCTGTATGCGGGCCAAATGTTTTATACAGACTGATGCTCATAGAGACCTGTGAGCTACAGGAAGCACGTTGGACTTTCTCTGCTTTTGTACACATTGTGTGTGTGGTGTCTGTGTGTGCGTGTGAAGGAAAAGGGAGCAGGATATGCCCATTTCCTCCCTTTGCCATTTTCATCTTATCACAGGAGTTTTGCCACGGTGTCAAGAATGCTAGAACAGGGAATTACTGTTTTTAAAGAAAATGTGTGGCTTAGATCAAGATAATGGATTTCTGTGTTACTGGCATTACTACTGATCTGTCCGTGACTACTGTGATTACTGTATACAGATTTAAACAAGAACATCACAATCTGTGCATTTTATGTTTTGTTTTCCTCTGATCTCATATTCGCTGAAGAGTACTTTTATCTGTTACTCCATAACAAACAGCCTTTACAGCGGTCCAAAACACTTCTTTGTTTCAGCGCAGAGCACAGAACCCTAGATGATAACACAGGATTATATACAACTCCTAGCAGTCTTTGGATGAAGAGTAATGCATACGTAACTTGTTACCATTCATTTATTTTTCTAACATGTCCTATCGTTTCAGAGCTGTGGCAAAATGTATGTGACTTTTGTTCTAACCTTCACAACAATATTGCAAGTCAGGTTAGACTAAAATGCTGTGTAATGTGGAAGTGAGCACTGTGAATGAATGGAGACTTGGTATTCAATTCTCCTCTAGGTCAGATGACACTGATTAGTTAATACTGCACGGCGCTGAATTTCTGCTTTGTGGAAGAACAAACTGCCAGCATTTAGGCTGGTCACAGGTATAATAATAAAAAAAAAAATTAAAAAGAAAATAACTGTTTTAGAATGGGCAAATGATTTCCGATTAATCTGTAGGACATCACGATGCTGAACGTTTCAGAGGTGTGTTTTGTCATGTATGATTGCAGTCTGAGGAGGGGGAACATTAGAATGTTTTAGAGCCGCTAAAGACGACGGTAGGAATTGGATCTGGTTTCTATTCCATCTAAAATAATTATAATGGGCGATCAGAGAAAGAATCATAAAAATAATTATGACTGTGGAAAGACTTCCAAGTGAAGAAATTAAAAAGAAAGTGGAAAGGGCTGAAAACGTAAAAATTGGATTAAACTCCCCCCCCTTCTCATTGGTATACATATATTTTCATAGACTCATAAAATGCTGCACTGTGATTTAAACAGATGCATATTTTATTCTGCCACTCGTGAGAGTGGGAAGGGGAAAATCCCCCATGACCCAACTGCTGGGTGGAGACCGCACGATTTGCTTGAGCCAAGTTTATCTGAACAGCACTGGGGACAGATCACAAGACTGTGCCCGCTTGAGGAGGGTGACTGTATAATAGACGCTCACCAGTAATGATGTCAAATGCCAATCATCTTATTTTTGATAACGTAGGTTAGATTTTTTGCCAATAGCGAGAATACCCAGTTAATAAAATGGAGGTTGGCACGAGTCAGTGTTTGTGGTCAGTTACTTCCTAGTTTCCAACAAGTGCTGATTTAAGATGGCTCATGAGCCAGCATCTGCCAATAATTAAGCAAGCTATTAAGGAGGCTTACTTGAGTTCAGAGGCCTTGTTAGTCTGGAGGTGTTGGTTCAGGATTTGTTTTACTCCTTCAGGTGGGAGAGCACAACTCTGTACTGTTGTGGAAAATATAGAATGGTTCTGAACTAGAGCAGAAGCAAAATATATGGAACTACCCATTTGAGGATTCTAGATAATAAACTCTATATGCGCCTCTCCAAATCTGTGATGACACTGGGAGGAAGCTCCAGATCATAGTCTGGATGTAGTCTGTTAAGCTGCCATATCTGGCCTTCTGGACATCCAGGTCTCTGAATCAAGTCAAATCCAGTCTCCCTGTCCACAGAGAAAGGGACGGAGTGATAATTCCATGCCTCTTTTCGCGTAAAGGACTGCATTCCTTGTATCACTAAAACCTGGTTTGGAGAGGGCAATAATGTTGCTTCCTTGGAACCTGGGTTTGGAGTCTTAAGCCAGTGGTGGTAAGCTTTAAGAACAGGTAGTTGGCTATGAGTGCCTGTATGTGAGGCTGGGCTGCAAGAACAGACAAGGGATCCTGCTGTGTGCCAGCCATATTGCTGCGTGGCAGAGTCGTGCTTCGAGTGGCATTACCATCTGGCCTGGGCATCCTGTGCAGGGAGGCTGAGGATTCTCCCTAGTGGGAGAGTTTGGAGTCAGGCGGAGGCAAATGTCTTCATTCAGAGGTTTGTGATGTCCTCCCTGCTGATATTTGTGAGAACATAGTTGTTCCAACCTGTTTTTAATTGGTAAGATCATTGTCAGCTGGAGGCGGCCAAGAATAATGTCTAATGATGCATTATTGGTTATGTTGTTATTTTACTGAGTACTGCAAAATGCCTTCAGTCTTTAGGGAGTGCAGCGCTATAAAATATATAAATAAATACAGATGAGGAAAATCAGTCATTTCTTCATGCAGTTGTTTCTTTCCTTCTTCAGCTTGGAGAACTGGAGTGGTTTGAAGACGCTGGGAGAATGTTTGCTTTGACAAGGAGAAAGGGCTGCTTTTCTCTTTGCAGATGGAGACTGAAAGAACTGCTTTTTTGGTTTTTTTTTAGCATCAGGAAAGACTGTCTTGAGGACAAGGTTTAGTGGAATGGAATAATGGCTGATTCCATCTGGTCTTAGGGTGTGTTTCTGCATCTACCTATATGTGTGTATGGAATTGGTCTGGCCTTGAGCTGGGTTAGGTTTTTCATTTCTGATCTAAAGCATAGAGTTTGTTCTGTCCTGTTTCAAACAATTATGCATCATTTCAAGAAATCTTAGGACTGAGTTACTGAATTATTGAATCATATGTATATACTGAATAATTCAGTTACTGAATAATTGAATCAAATATATAGCTAGTCCTTGGGTTATATCCATTTGTTCAGCGACCCTCCAAAATTACAATGGCACTGAATGAGGGGGACTTATAACCGGTCCTCAGAGTTTTGGCCTTTGCAGCAGCCCCACGGTCATATGATTGTGATCCAGGTACTTGGCACATCGCAGAGAGCCGCGGTCAAGTGATTGCGATTTCTGACATTCCCTGCTGGCTTCCCACAAGCAAAGTCAACAGGGAAGCCGGCAGGAAGTTGGAAGTCGCGGTCTTGGGAGGTCCTTACTTAATGAGCCACGTGGTCCTCACTTAACGAAGGCAACTGGGACTGCTGGAAGTGCTGTAACTAAGTGATGCGGTCATGTGACATCACACTTTGTGACCGCATCGCTAAGTGACGATTCCGATCCCAATTGCCATCATAAACCAAGGACTATCTGTATCATAGCATACATGCATGTGTTTGTGTATGTTATTATATATATTTTTTACCATATGTCTTCCAGTTGTGGTGGGGCTTGCTATGTGTATGTGTGTATTTGTGGGTATGTAAGTTATTTATCTGTTTCCCAATCTCTTTTTCTTTCTTCTTTCTCCCCATCTCTTCATTCCTCTTAACCTTCTCAGGACTCTTTGTGAGCAATCCAAGGAACGTTGTGAGTCTGTTCTTGGAATTGTGGGTTTACAGTGGCCAGAAGATACTGATTGTGCTCAGTTCCCAGAAGAAAATTCAGACAACCAAACCTGTCTGGTGCCTGATGACAATGTAGAAGGTTATTTATATTTCTCAACTTTTAAACTAAATATTGAATATTTCAACTTGTAGGAGGACAATGATTACCTGGTGTTTAAACTTTTTTCTCCAGTCAGAGAAATAAAGTAAGAGAATAAAATGAAATTTGCCTAATTGGAAAATGCACTTATGGTAAATGGTAATTACAACAGAAGACAGAGTAGCTGGAGAACATAGGATTAGTGCATTCAAATAATGCTTATCCATTTGTCAAAGAGAAAAAATGGCATTGTTAATATCATTAAGTATAATAATTACCATGATAATTTAGGCGCAAGTAAGTTCCTCTCTTCACAGACTGAAAGTTTCACTAAATAAAATGAAGCTATACTAGAATGTTATGGAATATTTGTTCTTCTACAGTTGAGTTGAGTTGAGGTGAGTTGGGTTGGGTTGGGTTTGAGTGGAATTGCATGGTTTGTCTCTTTGTTTTGCGAAATGGTGCCCCAAACCTCTTACTGAAGACCAATATTCATGCCATTTATCCTTTAAGGCAACAATGCTGAGAAGTATATGGTCGAACTAGGACAGCTAACTGGGGATGTCCTCATTCATTCATTAATTCATTGCCCTGAACAGATGCAGTCTACCAATTTCTCCCAGTCCCACATACAATAAAAACCTTTAAGGAAGCGCAACTCCAGGTGCTCAAGATGGTTTTTAGAATCAGAAAAAATGCTTTAAGGGATTTTTTGTAATTCCAACTACACTATGTCTGTTGGGTTAGCTTACTCCCGTATTAAAATAAAACAGTACAACCCTTTAATTATGGAAGGTATCTGGGAAGGTTTAAAATAATTGTTTTCTTGCTCCTATTCTTACAGTAATGTAGCTTTCAACTTTAAGATACAATGTTTAATGTTTAACATGATTATAAATAGTTTATTTTTGAGATTCGCTTGTGGGTTTTTATATGTACTTATTTTTAGCTGCCCTGAGGCCATCTTTGTGCTGTGTCACAGGTTGTATATCCTGTACTTTAGATAGCTAAGCATTCCAGATCTGAGCTCTAAAAAAAAGTCCATTCTAACAACTTTGCAGCAGATGCTAGCAGAATGTCCTACTGAGCTGTTGCTCCTTCCAGTAATGTCACCATCCCTGGAGCAGTTAGTACTTTAAAAGAAAAGTACTTCTTAAATTAATAAAGTGATAAATGGTTATATCTATATACTGTGAGAGCGGCAAGATTGAAAACTCTCAGTATTCAAGTTACTGGGTGCACTTATCTCTCATTTCAGAAGTAAACTGGTTTGAAGGATGTTACCCTCTGCTTCCTTTTTCTTTGATAGCTTGCACACATCTTTGAGCCCAGAAGGAGTTTTAAATGATTGCCTTTTGTAATTTTCCTGGCAGAGTGCTCTCCCAGCCACTTCAAATGTCGTTCGGGAAGATGTATCTTGGCCTCCAGAAGATGCGATGGGCTGGCAGATTGTGAAGATGATAGTGATGAAGAGAACTGTGGTAAATGAATGAAGCAAGACTTACAACAAAGCAATTGTGGACCAGAACCATCTGTGATGATTGACTTACGCTGCAATATTTTTCCTTGCTATATTAGGGACTTCTGTTTATGAACTGAAAGTTTAGTTCAGTGTTTCTTCACCTTGGCAGCTTGAAGATGTGTGGACTTCAACTCCCAGAATTCCCCAGCCAGTCATGTCTGGTTGGGGAATTCTGGGGGTTGAAGTCCACACATCTTCAAGTTGCCAAGGTGCAGAAACACTGGTTTAAGTTGATCTGGGAAAAGAGGTTTTAAAATTCCTAGATGTCATGTCATGGAGAAAGACCACATTTTATCTTTCTGAATTTATCTTTCCCAAGACCTTAAGGTAGGGTACATGCACAGAGATTCCTAATCCTTTTCAAGCAGATTACACTGAGAGGGATATGTGTTATCCAGTGAAGTTTTGTCCCACCACACCAAAGGAAATCTTGCCCATGGTGGGGAAGGAGAGTGCCTGGAGACCAATACCATCTTACCCATTATATACCAAACTCAGATAAGAATCTGTGTCTCTACTCAATTCTAAATTTGGCCTTCAAAAGTCTTAAATGTAAGGAATATGGAAGTGAAACTATAAGAAAAGTTTGGGCTCGATCAATGTGTTTTTAAGCAAGTATATTCAGTCCAGTATATTCTTCCATTCAATGAAGAGTGAAATAAATGAAAAAAGAAATATAGTTTGAAACTCTAACAGTGCAGCTCATTGTGTTCTCTTCTGTAGTAGCTCAAATACGTTACAAGTACATTTTTGCAAGAAGTTTCAGTTTTACTATATTTCAGAAAGAGAGAGGCCCATGCCTTGCACCTCAATTAATCGGTCATTTCTCTCTGGCCACTTCCCAGAGAGAAGTTTTCAAGCATCTTCTAGCTTCATTCATCTATTGTTGTGCCACATTATTGCCACAGTGATCACACAGTTGGAGACCAGATTAAGGAAGGACAAGTATTTGCAAGTCTCCCCAAATTTTTCCTTCCAGTTTTTGTAGGGATATAGTTAGACCAGCTCCTCAATTCTCTCAAGTCTCTCAGTTTTTGACTTCTGAAGGAGCCCATAATGGAGGTTGGTGTAAAACTAGGAAGGCTGCAACCACATACAGCCTCTGCTTAAATCTTCCATGTTGCATTCCCACTTTGGGAATACAAAAGTATCTGACGCTCACATTGTCTCTCCACTTTCTGATTGAAAATTTGAAGTCCTGAAGAAGCTCAGGTCTTGTTGTCATACGGTATGTTTTATATTCTACCCCAATCCCTTTATTATGTAGTCTGCTTTCTAATGGTCACCAACCTTGACATTAAATCCTAACACTGACATCAATTTTCTACCGGTGGACATTACAATGAATAAATTATACTATTAAAATACCGGTGGACATTACAATTACTATCCATTTGTACCTGTTGGAGATGTAAAATCAGCAGGAGCCCTTGTTAGAGGATACGTTGCTAAACATAACCAGAGGGCTGAAAGAATACCGGATAACGAAGTAGCAGATCGTCCCACTGGAGAAAAAGGTCCATGATATAATTGGATGCTTACCCAGCTGTCAGCGAATGCCAATAGATGTTCATTGTATTTGAAGTAAAAGCTAGATTTAGGAAGAAACGTGTGAGGAGAGGAAAGCCTCATTTTTATGTCAAAGGCAGGGAAGCGCTGGAGGGAGAGAAAGGTAGGGCGTTCCCTTGTCTGTTGAACACAGGGGCACTTTTAATTAATAACGGGCGAGGCAGAAACAGACGCAGACGCCATGTACGATTCGTCGTCCTATTTGTGAGTCACCTAGAGTCCCTGATAGCGAGATGGGCAGCATATAAATTTGATTTATAAATATAAATAAAACAAACAAATACGAAGGCCCTTCCCTTCATCTCTCTCTCACCATTGGCCCTGATGCTCAGGTGTGGAAACGCACGATGGTATCTCCAACAATATTGACTTCTTGGGAAAAGGACATAATACAACACGTTCTTTGGAGTACCCTCCCCTTATGCTATTCTGTGGATTTACTTGAAGGAATTACTAATGGATTATATTGTTACTTTTCATGGAGAAGTTACCGTGTTCTTCAGCCTAGGTTTATTTACCGTAATTGATTCCACCTGGAACCAAACATTTGTGAAATTCAGACTTTTTGACGTTCTACAGATCACACAAAAGTGAAAGCCTTTCTTCATATTGCTTGTTTAAAATGTGGATTTTTTAAAAAGTTACAGATGAATCTAGTTTTAAGTTTTTAACTTCTGTACAACAAGTTTATAGCACAATGAACCCAAAGGGCATGGTATATATCATTAAAATGCTTTTTTAAAAACTTACAAGTGGTCTGCTTAAGAACTCAGGTCGTTCTTTCATCTCAATGCTGAAGTGAGCTTGCTTTAAGAGAAAAGCAGAAACTCTTCCAAAAGATAAATATTTCATAGATGTGCCCTGAGCCTTAATTTCTTTCATATGATGAAGTAAGAATTTAATGTCAAGAGACTGACATAGTTATGCAAGAATTCATACCAAATTTATAATAAGAGCAGTCTGACTGGCTAAAAACAATTGGAGGAGACAGGCTGTGTTTACTGAACGGATCTGTCTTAGGATATCACTGCCAATTGACACTTCTCCATTTTACTGCATGCCTTGTTACCGTCTTATCTATTGCCTCAAGTTTTTCAATCATCTACACTTCCTTTTCCTTTTTAACATCCTCATTTTTAAAGTGTTCGTTAGCATAGAATCAGATCCTATTCATTTTAGTGGGAAACACTTTAAAAATGAGAATGTTAAAAAGAAATAGAAAGTATAGATTATTTAAAAATAGAGCTTTCCTATTAAAATAATTGAAAGTGTTTGTTAGACTATGCCCAGAGTTCACCCAAAAAATCCATGGTAATGATTTTGGGGGAAGGGGGGAAAATGACATAAAAATTATTTTGGTTGTCAGTATTTGAAATGTGAATGGATTATATGTTATAGATAGGGGTTTAATTTTAAGGTTTCAGACAATATATTTAGCATCTATTATAGGTTGGATCTGAATTTAGTCACATTTACTTTCAACCTTACTGATTTCATTGGATTTGTTCTAAGTATAATTTAAGTCTGGATCTAACCCGTTATCAACATTCAGCTGGGGCAAATTGATGATTTTTAAAAGATATTATAAATACTATAAATAAATAAATAAATAAATAAATAAATTTGTCTAAAGCAGCCCTATCTTGTAGTTTCAAGATGGTTCCTCAAGGCATTAAAGAAGTGGTAATGTCACTTCACCTGAAAAAAGCTGCTTAATTGACCAGCCCAACAAAATGGGTTGTGGTCTACCGACAAAGTTGGAGGATAAATGGTTGAATCAGAGAGACTTGACTAACATAAGGAGGAGCTAGAATGCACCCCTGTCTTCTTTCTGGAAAGGGGTTGCTTGAAACAGCTGGTTCTAGAATTTTCAGACAGATGTGATGGAATGGGCAACAACATCTGCCCATCTGTGGAGGATTGCTCCAATTTCCTCCATTTCCCATCTCTGGATATCAAATCAAAAGCACATTTTGAGTCAAAAAATGTCGAGCAAAGTTCCACCTATGTGTGTGTATTCCTGCATTTCAATTCCAGTAGCTCTTCTTCTTACCTGCCATGACAACGAATGATTGGTCACGTTAATTTCTGATCTCCAGGTTGCAAAGAAAGAGGGCTTTGGGAATGCCCATCAGACAAACTGTGTATTCAACATGCCATGATATGTGATGGTTTTCCAGACTGCCTTGACAATGTGGATGAAACAAACTGCTGTAAGTAGCTCAAAATGTAATGCCTGCATTGCATTCTTCGGAGGGAGCCAAGGACACAACATGTCCTTTCTTAGCAACATGATTTTAATTTTACGCCATTTCCCCTTTGATACTAGACAGTCCTCTGCCTTTGACTTTTTAAATTTCTATCTTCATAATAACATTTTGTCTGGATGTCACTGTGTTTTTATTTTGCCCCTTTTCTCTCTTTTTGCTCTCTGCCTCCTCCCCTCCTTTTACCTCTGTCCTGCGATTCCCTTTCATCTAGTGCTTTTGTCTGAATATCAATTACTTTTGACAGGCTTTCTGTTCTTGTCATTCTTTGTGAACTTTGCGTACTTTGTCTATTCACTGGCCACAGAATGAATAGATCAAAATAAATTATGCCCTACCTCTTTTATAACTGGGCTAAAATATGTTCTTCAGCTTTTCCAATCTGAACTTTCTGAGCAAGGGTGAAAAGTAGAAAAGGTACGGGGATCCATGCAAGCATTTCTGTAACTGCAGAGATTTTGAATTTACATTTTTTGTGGTTTATTTTAGAAGAAAATGTTCTGAATTTCTATTTCTGTTTTATTTTGGCTTTGGTTTTTGTTTCTTCCCTTTAGTTCTATATTCCACTTCAAGTATTATTAGTTCATATATTTGCATTTATTGTGGTTTATTAAATTAATTCCATGACAAGGCCTAGAAGGCAATCTGGTTAATCATCACTCGGTTGGGGGCTGACTTTATCCATCATCGCTGTGTGTGGCTCCATAGGGGCACTTTCCACACTGATAATAAACGGTGAATAAAGAACCGTTACTCATTAGAACTCCTGAGAGAATTTGGTTCTGTAGAGATTTCACTATACAAAGGCTTCAAGACTGATAAATTTACATAATCTGGAATATTCAGTTTTTTCATGACTATTTTTCTGAAATGTATCTTTTGTTTATGCAGTAATGAAATGGTGTATTTCCTTTCTGACTCTCTTGAATGTCGTCAGATCAAGATAAAATTGCACTAAGTAGTTAATTTGGTTTCTTCAGACGTGCAAAGGTGGCTGTTAAAGCAAAGCACTCTTCCAAACTAATTTGGAAGAAATGCTGTGGACCTTGTACGAGCGTCGAGCGTCGTAACTCTCATGGCTGTTCATTAAAGCAATCTTGCTTCTTTCCAAGCATCTGCACTGCTCACATGAGATACAAAGCTGAGTTGTTTTCAAAAAACTTTGTGTGCAATCTACGATGCTTGATTGGCTGACCTGGGCTTAGGAAACCTGTTTTTCTAACCTCCTGGAAATGAAAAACCAAGATGGTTTTAATCACCAAAGGTGTATTCATTGTGTGGTTACCAGCATTATTGAATGAGTTTACAGAAATATTACAGAATTAAGAAGTTCCAGACTTTCAGAGATTTTTATTCCTGATCATGTGAAGCAACTTCAGAGTTTACCTCCAGGTAATAAAAATCAGCAGTCTTAATCTTTGATGACTGTACTCAGGCACAACTACTATTCCCAATTCAGTAAAGGACTAGTGTTTCCTAGAGGATTTAAAGCTTTACATTTCTAAAGACTGTTTTCTCCCAATTTGCATTTTTCATGGCAGCGTTTTGCAAGGAGGATGAAATTGCATGTGCAAACCATGACTGTGTACCCCGTAAATGGTGGTGTGATGGGCGAGCAGATTGTGCTGACAAATCAGATGAATGGAGCTGTGGTAGGTTCTAAGACTTGCACCATAACCGAGATGCTAATGTGAGGATTGCAGAGGAGGAACAAACCTAGGGGAAATGGATCAACCATGTTTAAAGTAAATGACTCTCTCTGACAACCAAGATGCAAGTCTGGTTGGTGGGTCACTGTTTCTTTCTGCTTTCATAAAAAGAAAGCTAACACTGGCAAACGTGACTGTAGGGTAGGTAGTCCCATAAGAACCCATTTGTGTCCTTGGCATCCTGAGATTTTGCCTCCAAAATTCACATTTTTAATGGCATTATTATTTGTTCTTTCAAAACAGATGGGAATAAAAATAGGAATGAAAGTAGGAGGCTAATCAGTCCTATGGAATCCTTTTAGCAAGCACCTCCAAACTATCTGAAATTACAGTGCCAAAATCCAGGCCAATTCACATTGAATTTTGGTGGCACAGTTTTGGGGAAAGTTTTTTTATAGGATGGATATGGAAATGGGGGTTGCCTGTGAAGACGTCCCATTCCCATTCTCCCGTTTAACCCGCTTCCCCTAGAAAATAATATGGCTTATCGTTTCTGGAGATGTAACTGGGACAGATTGGAGAGCAAAGCGTGGCCTGTAACCTGAGAGATTTGCCCATCTCTGCTTTAGGAAAACATCCTGTGAATGCCTCATGGCTATAAAGGGATCTGTCTCTAGATGGACAGGCTGGGTAAGCAGAAGGACATAAATATGTTCCCTTCTCGACACATGTTCAGGAAAGGCTTTAATATATACCACTAAAATAAACGCTTGGAATAAAGTTCTCAGGCAGCAGTTCCTACAGGAAACCACAGTGATTACATGCACAAGGCGACATCATCATGTAAATGTCGCAGTGATGTACTTGTGTACTGATGTCTGAAGCAAGTCTATAAGTTGTGGCATTCGTGTGATGAAGTTGTAATATATGTTGTGTCACTATTTCCCCCTTGCTTCCCCTGCAAATGCTCATGTTCTCAGAGAAGAAACAAAATAACACCCCAACTATCAATATACAAACTAAGTAACCATATCATGCACCATATTTCTTTTCTTGGCCAGCCAACAATGCTGCAATTATAGAACATTGCTGAAGCCAACAGCATCCTTTTCTTCATAAAGCCTGTGATGGTTCTTCTCTTGAATACAAGATAGCTGTCCGTCTGATGGTTTATTTTGGGAATGACATGACTTCGGGAGAAAGCCATTACTGGCTACTGAATTATTGGATCTTCTGAGTCCCTATCCCCTGGAAGTGTGTCACACTGTTATTTAACCGCCTCATTAAGGCTTTCTGGGAATGAAGGCAGCTAGTTAGGTGATGTCTGGTGACCACAGGGGCAAATACTTAATATTTTGACCTGCCTTTAGTAATACCCCATAGACGTTTTCAAAACTTGGATGAAATCTTATCCTGAGCTCAACTGCATTACCTCTATGAAATATATAAGGTGACCTTACCTGAGAAAGTGACCTAGCAATAAAGCATGCATCTTATGTTCATGCCTGGTGAGCAGATTCTCCTAAAACATTATCACTTTTGCATTTCTTTGGGGTGATATTCCATCAGACTTAGCAAGTGGAGAACATTTTCTTTACTTGTACTAAAAGCAATTTTCCACAAAGCACTGGCAGTCATAGCATAAAAGTTTGGTTATCTGCTTGCATTTGGTATATTAAGCTGCATCACTGCATGATGAAATTGTCTGTATTCACTCACAGTGCTTTTTTTAATGATCGCACATTAATTTGCAAATCTTCCATGTCATGAGAAATCAAGTGATTAATCTTCTACCTGGGGGTATTAAATTTTCATTTTTTTTTCTTTTCACAGTGTCCCTGTCTAAAAACAGCAGCTCCTTGATGTTCCTGACCGTATATAGGTCAGCTACCAATTATTACATATGCGCTGATGAATGGGAAGAAAATTTAAGCCACTTGGCATGCAAACAGATGGGTTTCGGGTAAGGTCAGTAGTTTGTAACACTGATAAATCATAGCCTTGAGTGCGACTATAAGTTTTGGACAATTTGTTGAATCTGTGATGTTTTCTTAATCTGCAGACTTGGGATCATTTGGCTTTCTACATCTTGGTAATTTAACACAATTAGAACCTTCTGATATTTGTTACTACATGTGGTACACTATCAATACCCTAGTCCAGTGTTTCTCAACCTTGGCAACTTGGCATGCTGACTGGGGAATCCTGGGAGTTGAAGTCCATCTGTCTTAAAGTTGCCAAGGCTGAGAAACACTGCCCTAGTCAATCAAAGTAGTTTATTTTCTGTGAAAAATTCGTATTTTTCCCTTTGTTTCAGTACATGTATGATGCCATTTGCTCAGTGAGGTTCCTGAGTGTAATATATGGTCTTTAAGTTATGTCATGGGAGGATTGCCTTTGAGGGCAACTTTTAAGAATTGTACTGAGGTCAGTTTGAAGTTATTGTAAGGTTATGCTTCAGTGAGTCCTTAGGACAGATTAATGGCTTAATCCTTTGGGAAGTTTTTAGACAGGACGGTGATCTTCGGGTTGTGTTAGGTGAGATTGCCTTCAAAAGCACTTTTAGGGTTAAAAATTACTATTGGAATTAGAGTGACGTTAGAGGTAGGGTTAGGTTTTCTTGATTTCCATGGTTAAAATGAATGGCAAAGTTAGCTTTTTGGTGAATAGTTAATACTAGCCCTAGCGGGGACTGCCGGGGGCCGAGTAGATTTTATGGGTACATGTTTCTCTTGGAGTTAGTCTGAAGCTTGGATTAGGCATAGGCATCCTTGAGTTTTATGGGCAGGCTGAATGGCAGGGCTACCTTTCCAGTGAGTTTCTATGGGTACTGACAGCCTTCATGTTTTTTATGAAGATATGTCCTGCCTGGAAAAAAAATAAATATAAAAATTCCTATTAAATTCATGTGAAGTTGGGGTTAGCATCAAAGAGCATCAATCAGAAGTAATGCTCTTTGAATTATGTGGAGATTGTCTTCAAAGGTAACATTTAGGGTTATTAATTTAATGTTGATTTAATGTGATGTTAAGAGTTACAACTGGGCTTTCTTGGACACTGTGATTCAGTTGAATGCCATGGTTAACTTTTGGGTGAGTTTCTACAGCTAGTGGCAGCCTTACAGCTATGTTAGGAGTAGGCAGCGTGACCAAGTAAGTTTTAAGGGGGGAAAAATTAGTAGAATTTATTTATTTATTTATTTATTTATTTATTTATTTATTTATTTGAATTTATTAGCCACCCAACTCCAGTGGACTCTGGTTGGAATGAGGGTGAAGTTGGGGTTAGGGTTCCCCTTCCATGAGTTTTGTGGTCAGATTTAAAGGTAAGGTTACATTTTAGTTCTCATTTTTTGGTTAGTGGCAGTTTTACAGTTACATTATGAGGGGGTTGCCTGACTGATAAATTTTGGGGGAAAATATTTATATTTGGATTAGGAAAAAATTAGTGTTAACAGACTTTCCTGAATTCTCTAATCAGATAAAATGGCAGGGTTGGCCCTTGGGAAGATTTTTATGAGTAGTGATAGTTATTTTATATGGAAAATGCTTGAGTGCATAATTTGTAGGGATAAAAGTATCTATTTGATTTAGTAGAAGTTTGGGTTAGGTTTAATTGAGCTCTGTGGTTTGATTTAATGGCAAGTACACTATTTGAGCGAGTTTTTCCAGTTAGTGGTTGTTTCTGACTTATGTTATGTTTGGAACCTTAAGGATAATTTTTTGGAGTAAAAATTTGTATTGGGGTAATTTGAAGGAAGGGTTAGGCCTTTTCAAAATCCATGATTAAATTTCATGGCCAAGTGATGTTTCTGGTGAGATTTCCTGATTATTGGTACTAGTGTTAAGTCTGATTGAATGAGAGATAAGCCTTCATAGTTTTGTTCCAACATAATAACAACGTTATAATGATGGTGAATAAAGATGGCATTTGAAGATGAAATGTCCACTGTTCTTTCATGCAAAAAACCCTTCGATTTTAAAGTCTGTATTGACTTTCATGATGCTTGGGAGGAATGGAGAATGAAATACTCAGAAAAGTATATTCAGTAAAGCAAGGAATCCTTATTTTATTTATCAAGAAAATTGTATTAATTTAATTTTCCCACACATTTATTTCCATTCCCACGTATAGTTATTTTGCATATTAATATACATTCAGGCAAAAGTAGGTACAGCAGATTTTTCATATTAGGTGAATGGATGCTCTGCTAAATCAGTAGGCAGCAATATGACAAGCTTAATAAAGAAATAATAAAATAATTACACTTTGAGAGAATAGTTGCTTCTGACCTCCAAGTAGAAAGTAATTCCTCTCTTTCGTTTCATGTCTCAAATGGTGGAGAAACATTCACTCAAACAAGCATTCCCATTTAAACATCTTAGGGAAAAATTCACAGAGGCAAGTAATAAAGTTTAAAAGTTTAAACATTATGTATATATGCACATAGAAATGTAGACCCCCCCGAAAAAGGATCATTGATTAAAAAAAAAAAAAATCCCATTTTTCTGCTTCTGTATACAGAGCACCAACAGAAAAAGGCCTATTCTGTCATCAGTAATGCTAAAGTTATAAAAACTGTATCAAAAATACTGATTAGAGTTATTTCACCTGTACGTACCTTGATCTCCCATCATTGGTTTGCCCAGTATTGGCCCTTGGTTGAAGTGGGAACATTCATCACCCGGCAAATGCAGTATCAGAGGAAGCCTTGCAACGAATAGGACTTCTTAAATCTAATACTCTAGCTGTATCGTCTCCAACTTACAATGGAGACAAGTCATACATTCAGTGGCTAGATCTGAAGAAATGAAGCGAGCAAAGCCTTGGTGATCCATCCTTGAATTTGTGAACAAAATCTATGGAAAATAGAGGGCAAAGGGAGATAGCAGATCGGGTCAGCTGTGTTGTGGGTATAATCTGTGGATATGCATTAGATGTTTCACATTTGTAGCCTGTATCCTACCCACAGCAGTAGCGCTCATAATTCATAGACTGGGCTTGTCATTTTCCCTCGTAATTAGTAGCTTCTTCCTCCAAACTTGTTATTTTTTTTCTATTCAATGTTTTTTTGTTTTTGTTTTCAATGAAGATTGAAATGCAGGATTTTTTAAGAAAGGGTGGTATGTATGCACAATGGGCTGTGGCTGCTGGGTCCTGGGGTACAATCTGCTGCACACTGATCCAAGACTCAACCCAGTAGATCTTATTTCAAGTAAGCATGTCTGACATTTCACTGTACAACTAGGGGCGCACGTGTGTCTGTGTGGGGGGTGCTCAAAAAAGGCAAGATGGGAGCTTCCACTGTGCAATTGAAGCTCTGATTCTTTGTTTAATGCGTGCTGCGTTTTAAAAAGGGGTCGGGCTTCGATCACCCAGTCTTGGCCACCATCTTGACATTTTTGGACACCCTATCCCAAGGTGAATTCGTTATACAGAGCAGATCTGAACAGGATAATAAAATTTTGGTATCCGATGGCCATCGGAGTCCAGGAATTGCCTTTAAGTGGCTTGCGTGAATAGCTTTGTAACCAAAAAACTGGAATGCAGAAGGAAAGTTTCGGTTACATCAGGGAACAGCAATCAGATCTTGGAGCTGCCATTTCCAATTATTTACTTTTGGGTGTTTCTGAAGAAACATCTGACTTCAGTGCAGTCTGAGATGGTCTTTTCTTTCAATGGCTTCTTTGATCAGCTTAACCTCCCACTCTGATACTCATGATACATCTCATTGTTCAAATCAATGGGAAGCAGATTGACAGCTACAAAACGGCTAAGGAAAAATAGCCAGGAAGAAGAAAATCCACAGAGAGGAAAAAACACTGAATGTGATTATCTGCGTTATAACCAAGCAGTAATGTGTTAGACAGATGTACTGTAAGTAGAAAAATCTCCCCTTTGGGACCCAAGAGTATGCACTTGCTCTTTCTGTTTCACATTCTCATTCCTTCTGGATTATTCTCAGTAGTAATATAGTAAAACACTACCAATACCGGCAGAATCCCCAGAGCATACGCGGAATGAGGATATAATTCAATAATTGCCCATTTAAAAGGTGATTTAGAAGCCTTTTGCCTGCGTGGATGGCACAGGAAAGGCCTTCTGCTGCTTTGGGCCACGAGGAGTGTAATGTTTAAAAGCACTTTATCCGCCTTCTTGTGGTGGCACCCCAAGGGAGGGTCCAAAAAGTTAATATGGTGTCTGTGACTGCCCAGTGGAAGCCCCACCCCTTTTCACGTGCCTCGGGTTCTGATATAAATAAACCCCCGGACTGTCCTGAATGTGCTTTCTTTCAGGGGACCAGTTGTGACAGATCTTGTTCCAGCGTATGAGCTTCCACAACACAAAAAATGGTTGAATCTACCTCCTGACTGGGAGAGCAAAAATATGTCCACGTTACATGCTCTTTTCGTAACAGGGTAAGAAATAGCTAACATAGTGTTATTTATTTACTTACTTACTTATTCGTTTATTTATCATATTTATATATCTCACACAAGGTGACTCTATAGGTGAAGAGAATATTGTAACCCAGCAGTCTGAAGGTAGCATGATGTCAAACCTTCGAGGTAGACCAGACTAGGAAAACAAAGTTATGAATGTTAGTACTACTTTTATTGTAAGGTTAAAGTAACAGAATCTTGCAAGTCTGAATACGGTTCCCCCTCCCTCCCTTTATCTTCATGAGAACTAGGGAGGGTCAATGTCTGAGGCACTTTCTCAAATTACATTTCTGCCCCAGACTCATGTTTCTTTTATCTGATCATTGTCTTGGTAGTGGCTCTTCCTCCCGTTCCTCAAGGTTATTCCTTCAGCCCATTATACATGAGAGGAGATCGCAGATCTCCTAACTACGTGAACTGGGAAGTTGCATATAAATAGTCTTGTCTACTCAAATTACTTAATACCCTTTCAGACCTGAGACCCCTCATTTTGATCTGCATGTTTTCGGTGTGCATTTCCAATTGCATGGAAACCCTACCCCTGCGTAGGTGGTCCATGTATAAATCGGCAGGGCTTTGATTACACCCCACTTATACTAAAAAAAACCCCATTCACCTTTGGTTTTGAGCTGATACATCTAATTGCCAGTCCAGAGGGTTGTTGAGAGAAATAAACGAAGCATCAAAATATTGCTTCATTCAAAACATCTAAAAATCAAGTGTCTTCCAGTTTTCAAGCATATATTTTAATGAGATGGGTAGAGGTTTTTCAGGAGATATATGATTCCTGTGCTTCTATATTATGCTGATGAAACTGAGCCTCATAAAGCTGTTGTTTCTACATCTAGGTTACCATGTGAAAGCAAGAATGCGGTTTCTCTTCTCTGTGCCAGAGAAGGTAAGTTCATAACTCATCCACAAAGGAGTAAATTAGATACTTCCAAATTGTCCACTAATTCTTGAGAGTCTGAAAGGAACTCTTGTGAGGATAGAAGTGGAACCTTGCTTGATCTTCACCTAGGGCAGCATTTTGCTTTCTGGAATGGAAAACCTAGGCCTCCCAGAAGCCCAGAAGCAGAATTTAAAGGGAAGAACCTTCTACAACATTGACTGTGTTTGTTTTTTACAGTCATCCTCCATTCCATTCCCCCCTTCCGTCATTTTTCTTTTTTTCATATTTTGGATTCGATTTCTTTTTCTTTGCTTGGAATTTTATTTATTGCTGTTTGTAGTTCTGCAAACCTCAGAACTCTGTTGGGTGGGCCTTCTAGGAAGCAAAGAACCTTTTACTTATGGAAATAAATGGAGAGGTTCCGTATAGGGTTGCTCCCGCTTGCCAGAATATTATAGCGATGGCCACCAAATTCATTGAGGTTCTGAAGCACCTTGCCCACAAGGTTACATAGGCTCACAGGGCCATAGAGGTGGAAGGGATCTTCGAGGTCATCTGCTCCAGCCCCCTGCTCAGTGCAGCAAGGATGCCCACAATATTACCCCATAATTTAGGCTTGGCCTTTTATCTAATCAGGAGTTTTCTTGTGTTGTTATAATAACTGGAGCTCAATAGCATCGTAGCTTCTACTCTGTCTCCAGGTAGCGTAATCTCTTTTTGAGATTATTCTGGAGTAGGTGATAAAGCTTTCCAGAAAACGCAGGGACTCTTCTGGTACTTACTAGGTGATCTGTTTCTTAATAGACTGTGGCCGTCGCCCTGCAGCTCGCATGAGCAAGAGGATCCTCGGTGGCAGGACCAGTCGCTCAGGACGTTGGCCGTGGCAGTGCTCACTCCAGAGTGAGCCCAGCGGGCATATCTGTGGCTGTGTTCTGATAGCAAAGAAATGGGTCTTAACAGTGGCCCACTGCTTTGAAGGGTGAGTGGTGCTCAGAATGCTTCAGAAGCAGGATGGGAATTGTAGTTGGAGAGAGAATCCTAAGCTGGTCCACATGATTAAACCTTTGAGCATGGAAACATCCAGGAGCCATAACTACAGCTGAGTTACAAACATCATGTCCCTCTATGATGTCCTTCCCTTGGGACCGCTTCTTCTGGCCTCCTTGTTCCTTTAGAAGTGGAAGAGGCAGGGGTCACATGTGTGACACATGTAGAACGGGACGGGTTTCAATCACACGAGCAGTCACCAGCTTGACTTTTTTGACCCACACACACACACACACACACACTGCAGATGTCCTGGGAAAGAGGAGAGGACAGCCACCTCCTTTACCCTTTCCAAACTCCATCAGCAAATGCATGCTTGCTTTCCCTTCTGCGGCTGTGTCAGCCCTCTTTTTTCTCCTCTTTAGGAGCATAATTAAATAGCTTAATTTCTGAAAAGGAAAATATCCATCTGCCAGATTGTACTTCAGACAACTGCAGGTTAAATTAATAATGTTATATCGCGTTGTGCTTTTTTTTTTCTGAAGAAGAAGAGATTAGATATCTATTTTAAACAGGTACATACAGTATATACATGTTGAAATGAATGGAAAAACTGCAGTTGTGGTTTTCCCCATGGCCCCATAACCATACTGGTTGTCTTTTTTCCTGCAAAGTTGCTTGCATACCTGCTATGATGGAAGTTGGCTATGTCCAGGGGAGGAAAAAATCTAGAATCCTATAGTTGTAAGCCAGTTCACCTTACAGTAGGCAAGCAATCCATTCATGTTTTTATTTCAGTATAACCATATTACAAATTCTGTAGAAAAACTCCCTACCACCTACCAATTAGCAAATATTCAATGTCAGGGTTTTTCCAGCTGTGTTCCGTGGAACCTTCAGGTTCTGTAAGAACTTGATGGAGTTGCGTGTGAGACAAAGGGGAAAAATGAAAAGTTCACTTGAACACCCTATTTTCCATGACATTAGCAGTTCCTGGTTCCGTGGCCTGAAAAAGTTTGAAAAGTTCTATTCTGTGATTTTAGAGCTACCCTCTCTGGGCTACAGAAATCCCTACAACAATTCGACCTAGTGGTCTCCTGGACTTTTTATGGTCCAGGTCTGCTATCATTTCTTTTCATTTAATTGAGACAGCCACTTCGGTTATTTCCCAGGGGCATACACTGGGAGGGTCAACATTTGCAAGATGGTGGATGTGCTGTTGATACATGTACAAAAGAGGTGGGAGTTTGACCATAACACTGTGACCGCCATCTTACAAATTTTGATCCTCCCTTTGCTGACACCCCTGTTTCTGCCTGGTGGAAAGATGGGAGCATATGATCCTTTGCTTACATTGAATTGGAGCCAGGTTTAGTTAGTGACTAACTACTGGCAGGCAGTGGATCTAAATCACTGTTACTTCTGAAGTGGTTGGTATATCTAGAGTATCATCAAAAAGTACATTTCTACATAAAATAGAAACTGCAATAATTTCCACCTTCTTTCAGTATGTTATCCAAATAAAAGCCCTGCTTTCATCTTTTGATTCATGTAGTTGGTGCACACACAGCAGGAGATTGGGGTATAAATTATTTCTTATGGAAGATACATGCAGAACCCTCACTGTGTATCTTACGTCTTTCCTTTTCACAAGGAGAGAAAATCCCAAGGTGTGGAAAGTAGTTTTTGGCATCAACAATCTGGATCATCCTTCGGTCTTCATGCAAAGCCGCCTGGTGAAAGCGATTATTCTGCATCCTCGTTACAACCGTGCAGTGGTGGACTACGATATCAGCATTGTGGAACTCAGCGAAGACATCAACGAGACGAGCTACGTCCGGCCAGTTTGCCTTCCCACCGGGCAGCAGCCACTCAAGCCAAACACTTATTGCTACATCACCGGCTGGGGACATATGGGCAACAAAAGTAAGCATCACGGGTCCAAGTTCTCACGCGAATCTGTTCCTGCTTTGCCAGGCCCAGTCGGTTCTTTTGCTCTAATTGGAAGCCCCCCATTTCAGACACAAATGAAAGATGTTCTGTGGTGCTAAACAGAATATCAGAACATAGGTTATTCACTGTTCAAAACTAGGCCGTAAAAAAAATCCAAATATGAATCCATGGGAATGTGCACCAGGGGCAGGAATGGAACAGAAGGCTGAGATGGTGGGTGCAGCCATGCGATGAAACACCACCTCTTTAAACACGCAAGTGACATCAGTGCACAGACAGAGGATGAAGCTTTGACATTTACGCAGATGTAGATTCTGACCACACTTGCGTCTTTTCCTTCTGCTTAGTGCCCTTCAAACTGCAGGAAGGAGAAGTGCGGATTATTTCTTTGGACCAATGTCAGTCCTACTTTGACATGAAGACCATCACGGTCAGGATGTTGTGTGCAGGCTACGAGTCTGGTACTGTGGATTCTTGCATGGTAAGACAGTTCACAAGGAGAAACCCAAAGGCCACACTTTGGGCAGGCAAAATGTTTAGAATGCCAGATAATTATGAGTAATTTGAACCTGCTGTACTTTATTTATAAGGTCATCTCAAAATGGTCCAACGTTTAAAGGGGATCTAAAATCATTTTAAATTTATAAAATAAATATTCGTTGCTGAAGGGATGCAAATGCCTAGCGGCAGTGGATATGTTAGAAAAGGGCCAGAAGCTTTCTACTGAATGAAATGAACTCTTAAATTTGGGATGTTCGAATCCAAGCACGTTAACATGTAGCATGCTTTCTCTCATGGTATGGTACCTTTTCTACCTTTGACTTGGAGTTAGGGGTAAACTAGGTTTTTCAGGTTTTTGTCTAATCACAAGTTTGTTCCATCCAGTTTTTGCTTAAGTTTCAGGATTTTTTAGATGTTGGCATGAAAATTTTCCCATGCAACTTTTCCTAAGATATACTTTTTTGCACAAATTCCTCCCTAATACGTGCCTTTTCTGAGTATGTTGTGATTGAAGAAAGTGCATCACAAATTTCAGAGAATAAATGTATAAAGAGAATAAATCATTCAAGTAAAATATAATAGTAATGCTTTTGAAGTCATGTGAGGTCAGAATTGGACTCTCCCAGAAGAACTGTGTTAACTAGTACAGTGGGAAAACATCAGGTTAAGCTCCTCTCCTGTTGACCACTTCCACAGTGTTTTTGGCAGTGTTATAGAAATGGTTTGCTACTTCCTTCTTATGGGATATTATTTTAATTTCCAAGTAAAGGCAGGAATTCCCATGCAGTCACCCATCTACCAGTAATCAGGTCCAAACTGTCTTAGTTTTTGAAACCAACCAAGGTTGGCTAGGTATTATTACCCGTTGAGACTTTTGAATTAAATACTCTGTTGTTTCAGAAAAAAAGTTGAATCTTGAACAGGAATCTGCACCCATCCATGCTGATTGAATGGAAAATTTGCATGCTGTGCATATCTGAACATGGTGGCAGGGTTATTGAAGGCCAGTAACATGAGACTGAGTTCTAAGATGGGTGGGTGGTTCCCAGATGCAGGATCTGCCTGTTCTAAATAGATTTTTCTTCAAAAACAACAGAGATGTAGTTTGTGGGTGGGTTCTAGAGTTGTTACCAGGGTGGCCCATGTGACCTGGGTGGGTGGGGTGTCTCTTATGAACTCTGGCTTTGACTGGTATATCAGTTATGCCCTTTCATGGACCAGAACAGCCTGGCTACTGTTGTAGTAATGTTGATTACATAGTAGATTACAGTAACGCGCTCTTTATGAGATCGTTCTCCTTGCTTGTCATTGACTGTAGTTAAATACATGTGATTTGACATGTGGTTATTCTTGTATCTGATCTGGAAGCTGCCATTATTCAGAATGTGGTCATAAGCACATAAGCCGTGCCCTGCTGGATCAGACCCCTGGCCGACCTAGTCCAGCAGTCTGTTCTCACAGTGGCCAACCGACTGCACGAGGAAGCCCACCAGTCTCCCCGCGGGTGGACTAAAGGAGCAGCCACGCTGCCGTCAAGGCAAACAGCTCTTGATCCCCAGGATTTCCATGAATCGGTCCAATCCTTTTTAGAAGCCAGCCATGCTGTTAGCCAGCGCCACCTCTCGTAGTAGTGCATTTCAAAGTTTAATTATGTGTTATGTTAAAAAACAAAGTTTTTCTGTCCTGATTCTTCCAGGATTCAATTTCATTGGATCACCTCTGGCTCTAGTATTTCTGGGAAAGGGAAAAGAGCTTCTCCTTTATCCATGCCATGCATAATTTTGTACACTTTGATCATGTCGCCTCTTGTTCTCCTCCTTCCTGGACTAAAAAGCCCCAAGCATCACAACCTTTCCTCCTAGGGAAGTTGCTCCAGCCCCTGGATCATCTTAGTTGCCCTCCTCTGAACCTTCTCTAGCTCCACTATATCCGTTTGGAGGAACAGCAACAAGAACTGCACGCAATACTCCAGATGTGTTTGCAGCGTTGATTTATATGAGGGACCCCCTTATAGAAATCCAACCTAATTCTTCCAAAGCAGTCACTAGTAGATCATACTGCTGCTGCTGTGACAGCCCAGAGTTATCTATGGGCCAAGATATACGTATCTCAGGGCACAGCCAAAAACCAGTTTTCTTTCAGTGACAAATGCCCCATTTCTTTTAGTTTATAAGATCCATCCAGGAACCATTACTGTTACCACTGTGATCAAATTCTAATCTAAGATCAGTTGTCTTAAACTGTAAAATAATGTCCATATTTTACAGGGTGACAGCGGAGGACCGCTTGTGTGTGAGCAGCCTGCTGGACGCTGGACGTTGTTTGGTTTGACTTCTTGGGGCTCTGTCTGCTTCTCCAAAGTTTTGGGTCCTGGGGTTTATAGTAATGTGTCTCACTTTATTGAGTGGATTGAAAGAGAGATCTACCTGCACACGTTTTTGATTCGCTGATTCTTCAGGCTAGAAATGCTGCACTAACTGACCAAAAGCAATGTCTAAGGGCACCGAAACAATGAAGATGTTGAAGATGCTGAAGACATTGGACGAATTGTCAGTTTTGCAGGCTGGAAAGCAATAAGCAATAGGGCAGGATCAAAGAATGTGTAAATCTCTTGGTGCCAAAGGTGCTTCTGAGTAACAATCGAACATTTTATCGTTATTTCTGCCTTGTGTCTTTAGCAGTTCTGCACCCCACCTGTCACCTTTCATTCATAAGAATCAACCACTTTCTAATGTTATATGATATGTTTCAGATACAAAATTAAGGCTTCTCAGAAGTACTATTTTTTCTAAAACATAAAGAAAAGAGGAGAAAAACCTTACTAACAACCAATCAGCACTTCTAAAAAGGCCATGGTGCCCTGTCTCCCAGTCCATCTGATTTTCATGTGCTGGACCCCTGCGTTCCCCCATTTTAACAGAATGGGATGTTTCGGCGCAACCAAGTTGGACATCTGTTCGGATACAGCCGTATTGTTTAAATCAGTTATTTCTCATTCTCTCCCCTATGCTCGGTCTCCCTCCCACACTGTGGAATCAGTGCAGAACAAGCATATTACCATAGCAATATAAAGCATACTGTTTAGAAGTAAGAATCAGTATAAATAAATAATACAGATGTTAAATTAAGAATAGCTAGTACAGTTGGATCAAATAGTCTTTATGTCACTGAAGAGCTAAATGTAATACTAATTTAATAATAATCTTGGTAAGGTAACCTGATCGGTGACCACTCAGATCTCTAGAGTTTCAAGGGCAGTACTTGAGAAGATAATGCAAAAGGTCTCCAACTCACTGCACCTACACATACATTGCAATTCATGACCAAGAGAACGATTAGGAATGGCGTACTTGATATCTCAGAGGCTTCTTCTATGGTAACAAAAGGCCACCTGCTACTATTTCTCTCTATTGCTCAGGTTTTTCCACTAACATTGCAATTTCTTTTTCTAAGACATATATATTGGCAGCTAACAGTCTGCTTTGGGGATTTTTTTTTTTTTGAACTGTGAATTATGGGTTGAATGGGTAGAAAGAGATATCTAGGAACTTGCGAGTCAGTATTGCCACTCAGAGGTTCTGCTCCTGTTTGTTGGGGAATCAGGACGTTTTTCCAGGACCCAAAGGGCGTCCTGCAGCTACGCTTGGCTATGGGTGGTTCTCCTGCCCCAGAACTGGTGATGGGGGTGTCCAATGAAGACGTTCGATAGGCAGCGAGGTGACAACATTAATTCAAGAGAAGTATTGTGGCTACAGCCGTTATCCTATTTGGTAGCAAACGTCTTCTTTTTAAATAAGCAAATACTCTTTATTCAGTTGGTGTAATTTCAGTGAGCCAGGCACCCAGATGCATAAAAAGAAAATACATTTCTATTTGTTTTTCAAATATGTGGCACTGATTCCCTGTATTGCTTTCGCAGCAGCACAATCAATGGCCTTGATTTTCTTCTGTAATGGTGCAAAAGGCTATGCATAAACTCCTGCTTATTCTAACTTTATTTTGGCTTTCATTGAACATCTTTGAAATAATGCTGTAACACTCTAAGTCTATTCTAGAACTGGAAAGGGAAAATAATCAGCTATTTCAGGACTCATCCAAAGCAGCGATTAAATTGCAGTTTGTAATATTAATTGTAATTTGCAGTATTAGCAAAGCTTTCAGTAATTACCTGTATTATTTACTATAATAATATCAGGCATGCTGTAATTTATTTTATGCTGCCCATACCATCCAAGATATTTTAGATGTTTACCAAAAGAAAAAGAACATTTAAAATGATACAATTAATGGTAAAGCTTTTATAAAATAACAAATCCTTTGCAGTTGCCAATATACAATGCTTTGAAACACAATTCCCTCAAAAATGAACCAATCACTTTGGTTGCTTCTTGTGATTATAACAGTTTAGGGGTTCAGGAAAAAAACCCTCCCTTTTGATAGAGAACCCAAGGGTACAATTGATATTTCACTGTAGAACACTCCGGTTTTAAAATTGCCAATATCTTTTGTAGACACCATTTTCTTGCTCAGCTCAGTTCACAAATGAATGGGGGTTGCTTCTACCAACTTCTGTTGCACAGTGGGGAGAAAAGACAACCACATTCAACACACTTCTTGGTCTTATTCTCGGACAATGATAAAAAAAATTCCAGCAAGACAACTCTGGCACTGCTTATGGTGCTGAAACAATAGCAAGGTTAAGAGTGTAGTGTTACAGAAAAAGCGATCTGCTAAAATATGAACCCAAGCAATGGAGATTTGAAACAATTTTTTAAAAATTAAACAAACCCTAGAACAGGGATCACTAAGACCTCAGCCAAACAGACCAAGAGCCCCAAATAAAGATTTGCAAAGGATTATATAGAAGATACATGATCAATCATGAATAATTCATCACATTACCTAGACAGGGAAAAAAAACCCAACTCTATGTTAACAGGAATCACCCAAATCTTGCTGATATCCCTGATCTTCATTCCTTCATTATTCTTATTATAAGATGAGCCCATTTTACTCTACCCTTTGCCTGATGCATTCTTGTCTTGTTATCTGTCTTCTGCTCTCTTCCATGGGGTCACACCAAACTGAATTATAACACCCAAGGGTATCTTGGGTCTTCATAGCTTCCTTAATTTTGTATATGTACATTTCTAGTACTACCAGAGTAGCATGACTTTAAAGGGGGGGGGGGAATCAACATCTTAGTTGAGAAAATCCACCTTTGCAGATTTTTAAACCTTCAAACTCCACAGTAGGAAAAATGGAAGAACAAACCTTGATCAATGTAATATTGTAAATATTATCATATACTAGGGATGGGCTCATTCACACAGCTTGGGTAAGTGTACACATATCACATCCAAATACTAGCTAGATGTAACTTTGTGTAGACAGGATCCAATGATTCTGCAGATGGTAAAAATCTTTCTTTGACAAGGTTGGTGCGTCAATACTGTTGATGCCACAAGTGACAGAAGCCTATGTAACCAATGCAATGCCAACAAATGAGACTCCTTTTATATTATTATTGTTGGTTGCACAGTCAGCCAGATGTTTAGATTGGATTTGGCATTTTTATCCACCTATCGAGTCCTTCCCAAGGACCTGGGGTAGGCAGATGTTGCTGCTTGACGGCATTAAAGGGATCGTCGCAGGATGTGAGCTGTTCCAAGCAAAGCTACCTTTTGCAACGGACTGATGGTGATTTTGTCAATGCTGAAGGACTTCAAGTGTTGTTGTTATTGTTATTATTATTATTTACATACAGTCCAGCAGATACTGTACTTCTGACTGGACTTGATTCTTTTGACTATTTGATCCTTCCCAAGGCTCTTTCCAGATGTCATTGTGATATAAGTGCTGTTCCAGGAACTGCAACATGTTTTTGCATCTGATGAGTTGAGATTCTGTCCATTCTATTGTGCCCAAGTGGTTTTCCAGATCATTGGAAAGCGTGCACCAAGCACGCTAACCACTGTCGGAACCACTATAGTTTTCTTCTTCCATGTCTGCTCAATCTCTATTTGAAAGTCTTTACATTTCCCTATTTTTTCTAGTTCCTTCTCACTGACCTGCCTCTAGTTATCGCAATGTGAGTTATCCATACTTGTTTGTAACTACCATCATGTCTGGCTTATTCTAGGATAAAAGTTTATCAGTTTGTATTTGGAAGTCATACACAATTTTAACAACAATTCCTCCTCCTCCTCCTCCCCCCATCTCCCTATCTTCTCAGGCCAGCAAAAAATATGCCCCATCCATTGAACAATTCTTGTCATATATAGATACATGATAGAATAGCAATTCTGTTCAAATGGATCTAATTTATATTTTAACAGCCCGTGCAGAAGATTCAGGGCTCTTTCCCAAAGACAATCTGTTCCAATCTTCTCGAGAGCTTTGAGGTGTAATAGCAACCTATTTATTGGTCGGTAGGTGGCGGTGCTGCACTGCAGACCCCGGTTGCGAAAGCCTGCGCAAGGAAGATGGACAGGCTGGGCCAGAGCGATAGTCCAGTCCATTTTCGGGGGGTAGCATTCTTTGATTAATCTGGCTTTTCCTGTGCTGGCACGGACGCGAATGGAACCCCATTTTGAACCATCAGTATTCTCAGATTTATCCAAGGTTTCTCTCTCTCTCTCTCTCTGCCATTCGCAGCTAATTTCATTAGTTCAAACCACTTGCCTTTTCACATCACATCGGAGGGCTGTCTTTCTTCTTTTGTTTTTAAAGTTCTTTGGTATGCATGGCCACACGTGCAAAATTCCACGGTTAGGAGATGGAAATGGGGTCAAGCTGTTTGAAAATGGGAAAAACATAAGAAAACACAGACCTCTGTTCCACGAACGTTCTAACCCAGTATTTTCTTTCTCTGACGCATTGAAAACTCACACGACAGAATATTAAAAGCCTTTCCATGGCTTCTTCTTTCTTCAAATCGGGCTAACACAGGATTAAAAATGAAGCTGTGGGGAAGCTGTGGACAGATTTTTTTCAGGTTCTGGACTGTTTAGGGTTCCCTAAATGGTCTCCCCTTTAAACAATGCATCATGTTGCTCATGATGTCCTCTTTCTCCTCTCTTTTTAATGCGTTCTAGAAAATCCTTCTTGCGCTGTTCAAAATTCCAAAATAAGGGGATTGCAGTAAATCAGGAGGAATGCAAGATTCTGCTGCATTTAGGAAATGAATTTTATTTTATATATAAGCCAGTGTTCTTTTTGTGAAAGTAATGGGTGAAACGTCGTTTCTTTTGATTTTAAAATGAGGATAGTAGAAAAGAATTTTATGCGTAGTGGGCATCTCAGGTTATGTTTAATAAATAAGATTGCAATTGCCTTGTTGTTGGAAATACTATTGAGGAGTTGGACCCAAACCCAGGCATCCGTGTCTTGTTATTAGGAAATCATAGAAACCTTTGCCTGCTATTGAATATACTTCGGTACTCATGATGTGCCCTTTCCCATGCTGTCAAGACATGCCAATGTTTTGGATATGAATGGCCAGGGATGTGGTTAGACCATGTGGCTACACAACCCTTTCAACATTCTTTCAAGGGTGGAAGGTCACCACCACCTTCCCATGGTACTTCTCAGTAGCAGGCAATTGTGGGGCAAGGGGATCACATGTATCATGACACCATCGCACAAATGACATCAGAACATCCCTGCACTTCCTACTGGACGCTTATGACGACAATATTAATTCCTCTACAGAGCTGCATCCTCCGTAATAATGTAGTAAGTGAAGTGATCCTTAGCACATAGGCTGGGAAATAATCTTAGGTCATTATCCAACGTCTTTGTAAAAATGGCGCATCCAGTGGGACTGGAGATGGTGGCTGGTAGGTAGACTTGAAGACCATCATTAAAATATAAAACATAATGTGTAGGAGGGGCCGAATAGCCAGGAGGGGACGTGGTTGGTAACCTTGGTTAGAAATGGCTTTGTTAATATAGGACAACAGCAATGAAAGAGGGAGACAGAGAGACTGGTTTGGGCAATACTGAATATTTTCCATATAGCCCCATACAAAAATTTTAAGAGTCCTGGATCAGTAGATTCACGCAGTTCCCCATTCTAAATAGCTGCTGGTTGAGTTTAGTGAAGTCTGCTTTTAAATGAGTAGACTCCAGCCAGGTTTGTTTCTAAGTGGGTAGACATTGGATTCACTATTTTGTTTCATGTTTTGGGTTATTTTGATTGTATATTTGTTATTTTGTTTTTATGCTGTGAGGCCCCCAGAGTTGGTTTGGAGTCAGGCAGCACGTAAGTCAAATAAATAAAATACAAGGATCAATCTATTTAGGAACAGAGAAAGGAGAGACATACCAGAATAGGCACAGCGTACAGTATCTTTTTTAAAAAGTTAACCCTATTATCGTAAAGAAAATTAACAACACTGGCAGTATTTTTATGATCGCAGAGACAAAATGCTGTATTTATGTGGATATGTACTGTATCCCCCCAAAATCTTCTGCAAGCGTATTCCCTAAATAAATGACTCAAAACGTGACAAAGGTCTATGAATCTTGGTTCCATGAAGAATGATAAAGACCGCTTCTAATGAAAGCAATGGAGCCAATTGTTCTGTATGGTTGTTTGCAAACCTTGTCTGAATAAGGTACTCTAACATTGTTCCAGAAGAGAATAATCCATTACAATCACAGGAGGAAGAATCAAGCCACCCTTCAGCACACCACACGTGTCTGGGTATGGCACAGGCCTAAATGTTTTTTTATATATTAATAAGCATAAATTAAATGAATTCTCATAGGATTTCCCCATCATGGTGCAAGAGACCATTTTTTCTTCTTTTTAATTTTAACAAAGTACAATGCCTGCTTGTACCTTTAATAAATTATTTTAAGTATTTAACAATTTGAATATACCACCATTTGAACTCCATAAGTAACACGTCATTTTTGGCCGGTTATGTTAAAACTTTTTGATTTATCGTATGTAGAATTCCAATGTCTTACTGATTATAAAAATATCAAGTATCTCATCAGAAGTAAATGTCAAGCCTCCTCCTTAAAGACTGTCTAGCTGCAGATACATCAAAACAGAGTTCCTTTGACTTGCTTAATCAAAATGTTCTCCCAATTCAGGCAGTTGCTACTTCCAGATGTGTCAACCTGCACACCATAATTGAGCGCATGCTCTTGGTTCAGACCTTCCCTGGAATGACAAGTGCAACGGCAAGACTCCTCAATCCTCAGGGTTATTCTTTTGCTGAGACAGCAGAAGTCTGAAGATGCAGACTTGGTATGTGTTTCCTGATGGATGAATTCTGATTGCACCCCCCATAAAGCTGCTGAGATTTCTGTTCGCTGCCAACTCTTCTATCGCACACGGCTCTGTTGTTCAAGAATCCTGGCTTGTATTAATGGACTTGGAAATACTGTGGTTTGGATTACCCTGAACAAGTACCTAAAATGAAAGGAGATATTCAAACAAGCTGGAAGGGATGGGGTTAAATATACTTTGGGCACTTGAAATCTGTGCAACAGGGCTATTTGGAATTGGGAAAGAAGAAGACAGAGAGATACCAGGGGTCAAAAGCATCAAGATAGTGGCTACGACCATGTAATGGAAGCCCTGCCCTATGAATGATACTGTTTTGTGTTACACGTTTTCCTGTTCTGACGTTTCCCTGGTAGCCCACATTTATTTTCCCCTTGGGAGGAGTTCCCTCTGGGGCTCAACTGAATTCGGGAAAGACGGGGAGGCTGCAGACTGCTGGAGGATGATCATATAAAAAAGAACAGGGCATTCCATATACTCTTTGGCCAACCCATCACTAAATAAATGCAAGAGCTCCATGTTCCGCCCATGGCAATTTCCCTGGGAAGAACTTTGAAAATAACTTTTTGTTCATCCTACTAGATGAGGACTAGTGTGAGAAAAAGCAAGACAGATGGGTCACAGATTTAGGTAGATTAAACCAATAAATTACCTTGGAAGCAGAGCCAGCGTAATTGAGATCATGCAGACGAGATAAAACATTGGGTTTACTAATTGTCTCTGAATAATCCAATATGGATTGGCTGGTGGGTTGCAGAGGACACAGAAAGCTCCCAAAAGCCCGAGAACGAAGAAATACAGGAAGATGCTACCAGCAAAAACAGAGAAGTGTATAATATTCTGAAACAAATCAAAAGCAGAAATAGAAATGTTGTGAGATCAGATCTGCGTCCATTTCTGAAAGGGTACAGGCTGAGTTTGGCTGGGATTAATCCCATAAACCAGTGTTGTCCAAACTTGGCCACTTTAAGATGAGTGGACTTCAACTCCCAGAATTCCCCAGCCAGCCATGGCTGGCTGGGGAATTCTGGGAGTTGAAGTCCACTCATCTTAAAGTGGCCAAGTTTGGACAACACTGGTTTATGGGATTAATCCCATAAACCAGTGTTGTCCAAACTTGGCCACTTTAAGATGAGTGGACTTCAACTCCCAGAATTCCCCAGCCAGCCATGGCTGGCTGGGGAATTCTGGGAGTTGAAGTCCACTCATCTTAAAGTGGCCAAGTTTGGACAACACTGCCATAAACAAAGGCTGTGGGGACAATTCCTCCTAATAAGATGTCATATGAGACAGTTTTTATCCCATCCTGTGTCTCTCCATTACTTGAATTTGTCTTCAAATGAAGGAGAACTGAGACTAAATACCATGAAAGGGAATTTTATTTCCGTGAAAGTAATATTTTAAGCGTTGTCAGAAAACAAATATTGTATTTCGACGGAGACTTTAGAATAGCTAGGTGGCTTACCAACCTTACAGGCCTGTTTGATACTTATGGAAGCAGGAACCTTCACGCAATGGAGGAATGTCTAAGAACTATGAAGTCTCCAGAAGCAAAATTGCCATAATGCCCACGTCAGGCTATTGCACTGAGCACCTCCTTAACTATTTCTGTTTAATGTTCTCCCCTTTCTTGTACTGGACCCCAATGATGAAAACATCTTTCCTTCCCTTTCTCTTGAGCAATGTTTACTGGCCTGGGAACATGTTCCTGAGAAAAGTCAAAGTAGCTGCTGATGGATCAAGATCACTCCTTATGCAGAGACTAAGCTAAGCTAAATAAGAAGTGCAGCAATGTTCCTGGGGTACCTGCCTGTTGTTTTCTAATAATCGATGGCCATGGGGAGTCAACAATCCGATGCCCGCTGGCGGGAAGAGTCCCCAGGGCTGTCTGATGCTGTAGGAGCTGCAACGTTTGCAGCCAAGGGCAGTGGGTGACCCACCTACATTTTTAAGTTTCTTAATCCAACCAGTTTTCCACCCTTCAGGTTTCAGATCAACTCTGTCCTTTCTCTAGGCTGCATTTTTTTTTTCCGTATAAAGTTACCCAGCCAGAAGGACCTATCCAGGTAGAGGAAAGCAGAGATTCTGGGTAAGTCCAAGTCAGAGGATTACTGTAAGTTTGCTTGCTACTCAGGGCAAGTATTTAGTATTCTTTACAGAATCCACGTAAGGAAACACATCTGTCAGGCACACTCAAGATGACCTCAGCCTTTTGTTCCTTTATTTTGTATAGCTGTTAAGACATTAGGTTCAAATTCTCCAACTTGGTGCCTCCAGATGTATTAACGCTGCAATTCTCAGAATGTTAGACGGCACGTTTGTCAGGGAACCTAGTTTGTGGAGAGAGTACGTTAGGTAGACTGTTCTGCTTTTGTGCAGATCTTATCATCAGGAATTTTTTCCTGATATATAAATGAAATCTAGGAGCTGCAATGCATATCTGCTATTCTAGTTCTACTTTCTGTGGCAATGGAAAGCAGGTACCATCTTCCGTGTAGCTCCCATTTATGTACATGAACATGGCTATCATGTGTCCTAAGTCTTCTTTTCTTCAGACTGAACATCCCAACTTCCTTCAGCCTATCCTCATACAGTATGGTGTGTCCTTAAGACCCTGTATCATCTTCATTGCCCTACTCTGAAATCTCTCTAACCGGTTAATATCCTTCTGGAAATACGGTCAATGATAAAATTAAATGCAGTAAATGATAAAATGTGTCTGTTTCACATGGCGCATGCCATTACTTCCATGTTAAGAATGTGATCTACCACATTAACGGCTGAAAACAGATTTGATTTTGGAAATGTCATTGTTTATAACATAATACTTCCCCATGTGTGTATGCCTGTGTTCAAGCAGAAATGATTACCTTTATTTTGGTCAATGACCAGCATAAACAATAACAAGTCAAGCAAAAACAGTAAGATATTGGGGCAAGCTATAAAGAACATGTACAAAGTGGAAAATAACAAATCCATGTGAGGTCTTAACACTTGGATGTAATATAATATAGTATGGTATAATAAAACAGATTATTCTTAAGGCTAAGCCTAAAACTCACAGCCAAAACTAATATTTTGAGTCTATCAACGGAGAAGGAGAGAATTATTACAGCGTTAGGGCAGTTTTAATTAAAAGCTTAATTAAATCAACTTAAAACCCTGTCAGTGGGACTAATAATAACAATAGTAAAGGACAGGACAGGAATACTGGCTGTTTGCCAATTTCGATGGCTGCCACATCAAATTTAGCTCTATTCTATGGATAGATGGAATGGTTTCCAGGGGGACAGGAGAAAACCCACAAGCTGGCTTTTGTTTTGACCTATATAGTGTGACAACGGTGTATGTGTGTGTGTGAGAGAGAGTTTTGTGACTGTCTTGATAATAGGGGCTCTAGGGCAGCACGTGTAGAGAAGTTTCAATGGCCCGTGCAGTAGGAACAAGTCTGTTGACACAGGACGACTTTAGTAAATCTCCCATTAAGCACGGAATGGGGAGCAGGTCAAGGCTAGCTCTGAAAAAGGCTCTTGTGGGACAGAAGAAGGGGGGTCCTTAGATACCTGTCCAATTCCCATCTAGAATACTTCGTACGATTTCTAAAGTGTGCTAAAATGTGGCCGAGCTCCTTCCGATATTCAGCATCAAGAACCTTTTCTCTAATGGTTGTTCTGGCTTGGCGTAATCCCAAAGGATAAGTTGTTCTCAGGAATCCTGGTAATCTTGAAAAATTGCATCTGTTCCCACCCTGTTTTCCCCACGACCATGAATTAAATCAGTTTTCACATGACAGCTGAACTGTGGATTCTGGAATTTTGATCCCAAAAAACAAGATCCATAGGACAAGAAGAAATTATGCTTTCTGATCCTGGATGGGCACTTTAAAATAATATTTAAGGTTCTCCGTCCTATTTTAGCTGACAGATTAATATCAGAAGCCAAGGGTGAACAAATTTGGGTTTATTACTATGTACAAATGCAACTGTTGAGGTGCTAAATGGAATTTGACCCTGTTCAGGATGATCTTGTGAACTGAATGTTAAAGTGAATGTATAATATACTCACCACATTTTTACTTTCAATCAGAAGATGTAGCAATATTATAAAGAACATGGTAGTATTCATAGGGTTCCCAAAAGAATAGACATCTACATCGGAACCTCGGAATGTCTGGAAAGGAACCATTATTTATATTTATATTTATATTTATATATATAAGAATTTGTTTTCAATGAATTACATACAGCAAACTGCAATAACAACATAAAGTAATGTTAGACTTCTAGGTGGCATTTTGATGCATAACTTCCTAATGATGATTATTTTGAACGGTGAGGAAGTTTAATTTAACGCAAATAATCATGCAAAATGAGCGTGCATTATTTTTAAAAACAAAGCTAAAACAACAGAGACAATGATCAAGTAGCCAGTCTTCTAACACTTACAAAGTAGCAGATAAAAAAGCAAACCAGGCTTTGGTAAAATGCATCCACCAAGTTCATTGCAAAGGCTACACCCACATAGGGCTGCAGAGGAAATAAAGACAACAGGCAGGTCAGTTTTGCCGATTTGAATTATGAGTCATCTGCAAGTTCAGACGTCTAAACCTAAACCTAAGATGTCTTAGATGTCTAAGCCTAAGCCCAACTCTCAAACTAAACCCGAGTCCTAACCTAATCCCCTTAGTGAACTTCCAGAGGCACTGCTTAGCAGGCCAAGATTCCCTTCTCTAGTGAAGACGAGCACTAATTCGCTGCACAGGCTCCCTGGCAGGAATGCAAAGCCAGTTAATTTGTTATTCCACCAATATTTGCTGGCATATATTTCAAAAGGCATAATATTAGCTGCAAACCTCGAAAGTAAAATTTCAGTCAACAGAGCCTGATTTTTCTTGAATTCATCCTTGAAACTGGTTTAATAAAAAGGCAAGGTAAAAACAAACTTTAAAGGAGGTAAGCTAACAGTAATTTTCATAAATTGCACATTGCGGACTTATTGTGAGATCCGGTTCTGAAGACTAGTCCGCCAGTGCTTGGACAATACAGGATCGATGTTAGAAAGACTGACACACTCCTCTAAAGCTGATGCATCATCAAATAATTTCACCTCAGATTTCACACCCTATTATTTTTGCTGGTCTAGCTTGACGGCCTTCTAAAGTTCAGTCTGACTTTTATACCATGTCAGATTAGGACACGGAATACAATGAATCCATGTTTCTGGCATGTTACTTAAATGGTACAGAAAACAAAAATAAGCAAGAGCGGCCAATGTGGCAACCAGCAATAATAAGACTGACCCCACTAGTATGTCATGGAAAAAACTACACTCTTCTCCTAAGGCCACTTCTGTTCATTGGCTGGAAACCTAGCAAGGAACATCCTTCATCTCCACATCTTCAGAAGATTAAAAAGAAACATGTCATAAAATTCTGGTTCAAGTAGCAAGGAATGTGCAACCGAGAACCGATAAATCACTTCAGTCTTCAAACACTTCAGCCAAGCCAAAAAATACCTCATTTTTCTGACTTGCTTTGTAAAGTTCTGGGTTGTTCATGAGAGTTTCTGCAGAGACATCTTTGTCTAAAACACCATATATGACCGGTGGTACTGATGTGAAGAGAAGGTTGAAGAAAATCAGACTCCAGTAATCAATCATGGGAGTTCCCGAAAACCCACAATAGAACTGATACCAGAACAGGAGATTTACGTACGCCTGCAATGATGAAAAAGGACAACGCATTGTGGGAATCTACAATAGAGTTCAGGGAGTGGGGATGATGGGAAGCAGTCAAATGGACTGAAGACACATGCTTCACAGAAATCAGCATGTGTCTTCTATAGTCATTGTTCTCAGCTGCTCTGCACCCCTCAAAGCTCTGGAAACAGCACTGAGGGCAAGAGTAGAATTAATGTTAACCCTAAGGGACCTCTGGAAGTTAATAATCCAACTTAATGTTAGTGTGAGGACAACAAATGTGAGTTTTGTAACCAGACAATCATCTCTCCATTTTGTTAGCACTCCAAAGGTAGGGTTCATATCAGAATGAAGTCCTCACTGCTCAGGGTAGAAATAAAACAGCCACAGTTCAACAAGGCTAGTCTATTTCAATCACATATCCCTGGGTAGAAACTACAAAAAACAAAAGAACAACCCCCCTCCTCCCAAATCCCTTTGATAATTTCCCAGTTTTGATCTTGGAGCCAACTTGTCACAATCTCTGCTTAATACTGACAGATTGCTTTTTGGAAGAGGTCATATTTAATTGATTGTAAATGCTATTGACACAGTAACATCTAACCCAAGACAGATGGGCTGGCTCCATTTCCCTTGCCAGCATCTGACTTCAGAATCTATTAACACTGTCCCCTTTTCCATGTATTGAAACCATTCTTCCCTCCTCTGAAATCCAGGATGCAGTTACTGGTAGCTACGTACCACGTTCTTGTAAAAAAAGTAGAGGATCATGTCAGCCAGTCGGGTGTAACACCAGTGACCATGAACAAACAGCAGCTTCTTGAGGTGCCGGAATTGAGAAATTGCAAAGTCGCTTGCTAACACAGCCTGCAAACAGTCATCAAAGAAATAATAGAATAATCAAGTGGATTGCCAAAGACTGAGGTGAGGTGGACCTTGCCACCTCCACCAAAGTCAGCTGCATTGCTGGGCTCGGGAAAGCTCCATTTAGGGTTCTTTGTCTAACAGTCCTGGTCTTGTGTATTCCTTTCTATTATACGTCAGGCTTCACCAACCAGGCAGGGATGAACCACCTGAGCAAGCTCACAAGAAATCCAAGAGCTTCACAATAGTAATATTTCTTGAAGAAAGCAGGAAGCCATTGCTAACATTCTTCAGCAACTACTGTATAGTAGCCCTGTTTGATGTTCCTCCCTGATCTTCTTGATGGATTATTTGACTCCTGCTTTTGTCTCCACCTGTCCTTTGGTTCTGTAAGTGCCAGATTTTCTATTCGTTGTTTCTCACCAACAGTGTGAGAACTAGCATTAATATCAGGTGTGTCAATTCTCTGCACACATTCCCTAGCTGTGGGGTGTGGGTAACAGTATGTTGCTTTCCAAAGTTGCCTCTAGGTTAAGGACCCTAACTTGCACAGAAGTGTGTGAGCATGTTTGAGACAAAATTGGGATTTGATTGCCTTGGTGTCATATTGCCCGAAACGTGCCTCAAAAGATCAGTCGTGGCCTTAGCGTTAATAGGTAATGCGACATGTAGTATGGGTACAGCTTAAGCTGGTAACATAGACTAAACCTTCTCTATCTTACTAAAATGTGTTACGTAAAAGCCTCAAATGACCAACACCACGATAGGCAGCAGAGGGATGGAACCACCTGGTAATGACTGTGGCATATGGATGATTGCAACTTGGAGTATAAGAAGGGGATATGGTAAAAAACATTAACTAATAAATGAAAACAAATTGTATAGTTGATGAATGCATGCAGGGAAATGAAGGCATAGGCTTCTGAAACGAAGCCTGTAAGAGTTAGTGGCCCCCTTCCCACGATGAGAAGTTTAAAGAAGAAAATGCAACACACGAAGGGGCAAATGGGTGTGGTGGAAACAAGGGTGGTTTGCGAGGATAAAAAGGGATGGAGAGATGTAGCGAATGCTGTTAGTGTAAGTTACCTTGGCTTATTCCCTTCTCATCTCATGTCTTTAATTTCCTTCTTCTCAAACAATTGCCCTAATCTTATCTATACCAGTTCTTGATTATAATCAACTACGCCATTATTTAATGATCAGTTAAGTGCCAGTTCATCGCTCTGTCATTCTGATTTCCTACCATGATACACTTGATGTGTCACCAATTATTGATGTGTCACAATTCCTGAACTGAGTTATCAGTGCATACTTTATATTATTGAGGAGATGAGCTGAGGAGATGACTGGTGGGGTACTAACACAGCCTCACTGGATTCTCGTTTAAGAATCACAGAATAACTACTTGTACTGCTTTGAAGATAGTCTGTGAATGGATTTGTTCATCCATTGGTAAACTCTGATACCAAGGTTTGCTCTTAGAAACACAGTTAAACTGGAACATGACGTATACTGCAGAAGTATGGATTAGCTAATTACAAGACCATTACAATCTCTACAAGGGTACAACCTTTTAACAGTCTTTACCTTTTCCGAAGATGAAATCTTTTGACCCAGGCTATATGCTCCAATGTTTTCATAACTGAGCTTTTGTTCCCACTGACAATGTATTATAAAGCTGACAGACCTCAACGAGTGCTTGTTAGAGAACTAAGGTATAGGCAACGCTGCTTTCCTTAATGGGTCCGTCAGCACGTCCTACCTGCATGCCTTCTTGCCCAGAGATTCCAATTCCAATGTTAGCAACTTGAATCATGCTAACATCATTGGCCCCATCACCTTCAAAGCAGAAAAAAGAACAGCCTTGCAATGAAAGTGCCATACAACCGACAACATCTTACGCCCACTTGATAAAATAAATACGTATATTGTATGATCGACAGCCAACTAAATGTGTTATTAAGCGCACATATGCATTACAACTGCAAAGAGCATCAATGACAGCTGGTAATTACGGTGGTGATTTAACCTTTTCCTGGAGGTAAATCTTCCCACTGAAGCTACTATGTACACGGAGAATAAATCTCCCATTCCCAGTCTTTCTCCCCTCCCATTCCCTGCTCCAAGGGTGCCATTTGCGATTGGTTTTTTAAATTGCATGTTAAATTTAAAGAGGTTATTTAACTTCACATGTAATTTGGCTTTCAATCAGAGCAGCTTGATCATTTCAAAGTATTTTATGTTGCTTTTTTAAAAAGCTGTAACTTTATAGCTCACAATAGACACAGGAGCACAGTCTCCCACCCCCTGGCACCTTCAGGTGGGACTGGTGACAATTCCAGGCCAGCACAACCAGTGATCACGAACCAGACTTTCCCTCAAGGAAGACGGATGTGTGTCCAAGCACCCATCAGCCTAACCACACTTCAACAGTTGCATTCCGTAGTTCTCTAAAAGCAGTTTGTACCGGACTGATAAAATATGTCTGTCCAGACAGCAGATACGCTGTCTTCAAATGTGGAAAGTGTGACACGATCAAGGTCTCTCTCTTGTTTGTACAAATAACTATCTTGTGAGAAAGCTAGGAGGAAGTACTTGAACTGCACATATGGAGAATCCATCTGACAAATTATGAGAATTATGCTTCGTTGTCCTTTCTGTGTAACTTTGGGTTATGGAAATGTAGAAATCAGCACGCCAACCCTTCATTTCTTTGCCTATTATTCTGACAGCTTGGAGAAAGAAAGTGTGACTTATCCACAACTCCTACTGCGGGGATTCCAAATATTTTATTTATTTATTAATTAAACGTATATGAAATTAGTCAGTCAAAGGAAGTTACAATAAGTGTTAGTTTATCTGGACAGGAACAAGTTGTTGGAAGGGTAAGTTCAGAAGCTTTCATTCATTTTTTTTTCTCTTGTTCTCTATGCGTATTAGATAATCTTGGCTGACAAACTGTAGTTAGTGTTAAGCGTTGGTCTGTTTGAAACAAGCCCACATTAAGACATGGTTTATAAAACTGACTTGATAAAAACTAGCCACAGTTGGTGAAACTGTGGTTATTTAAAATGGAAGCTTCTGAATGCTATGCTTAGTATGAATTGTGTATTTAAATAAGGACTTCGCATCTGACCCTTGATCTTTTCCCAAAGAATCCTCCATTCACTGTAATATATATGGAGGTTGTCCAATGGAAAGAGTAACTCCATACTTGATAAGATACATCTGGCAGACAGACGTTCTTGCTGTCTAGGTAAAAACACCTATGATTTATTTATTAAATTTATATTAATTTATATGCCACCGGCTTATTGATTTGGCGGCATATAAATTTATTAAATTTACATGCCGCCCAATCCAATCTTCTCACAGTAGTTGCAATATGTAGTTGTACCAGTCATCAAACAAACCCAATCAGCAATAAATCATAAATAGAAACTGCTATAATAATTCAAACATTAAATATGAAAAGCATCCACAAGAAAAACATAATGCAGGACAAATATCAAACCATGCGTGAAAAACTCCTGTCAAAACAATTCAAGCAACAACTTCCATCATCCTGAAGATCAACCACCAAGACGCTCTTAGCTGCTTTCCAGGAGACCTGCTTTACGGGGAACAGTCTAAGATCCCGAGGCAGGATATTCCATAATGTTGGTGCCATCATCTGTTCGACTGGGAAATGCCATGATATTCAGCTAATTACATTTCATCACGGATATCCAACCTTTCTAGGCACTAAACATTTTGGATGTTGAGAGCATGTTATGGATGCTCTCCAAAATGGAACGTCTTCAGGGGTCTTCATGGGCCTGAGAGGCATGGCTAGAGGTAAAGGTCATGCAGGAAAGTTGGTTTTGGCTTCGCAGCCTGCTTGATTCCAAGCCATTTTTAAATAAGCTTGGTGGGCACTAAATTGGGTCAGGGGCCCCTTTGCATTCGCTGGTACCATGTTGTGGAGCAGGGGTCTCCTAGCTGTGCACTTGAACCCCCAGCCCTTTTACCCGCGTTGCAGGATGGCCTGTTGGGCTCCTGGAACTGCACCCCTGAAATACGTAGAGTCCTATGGAGTACTGTAAGCAGAAAAGATTGGTTCCCAGTCTCCAAGAGACAGCAGTTCAAATAGACTTCACACACCTCCCTGGCAGGAGATGCAACTCACCAATCGCCAAAGTCATGACTTGCAGCTCCGTCTGCACGTGTTTCACCATTTTGCTTTTCTGCAGGGGTGTTGCTCTGCAGCAGATGACCGCCCGGACCCGTGCCGCGAGTTGCATGAACGCTCTTTGTACTTTTTTGTGTAGGGCAAATTCTAACGTCGGCCCATTTATAATTAAGGCAAAGCTGCTGGTGGACATCTCTGTTCCTGAGGGGTTCCTCCTTTTCTTAGTATGAATCATTCTATTGATCTCTTCTAAAATGTTTTTTACCATGCTTGCACAGGCCTCCTGGAAAGGAAATGGGTGAGTTAATAGTTTTATCTCAGTTCAGTCACTTGTAAGTGTAACTCCAATTACAGCTCGCTTTACTTTTAAAATCACCCTCGCACGCATGTTATAGTGTGACATGGATAATATAAACCGCATGAGTTCTTTCTTCTGAATGATGTGACAATTCAGTAACAATGAAGAACAATGTTCTACCAAAGATTTATGATCTTGTAATAGGAAAAGCCAGTTCCACTGACAGCATCACAGGTTCTCATGATAGGAAGAAGCCATTGGGAGCCTCGAGCTTCCAGATTTCCTTGACAAGTTTTAAAAGTTTTGCTTCTGTTTTTAGTCATCTGAAATGCAATGCTATTAAATCTTACATTACATTTCTGCTTATTTAATGGGAACTGACTGGCTCTGAGAAGTGAAGCTGGTTTGCTGTGAATAAACCACAGTCAAGATTAACCACAGTTTATTCCATTGAAAAGACATGACAAGCTAAGATTCAGATGAAACAGAACTGGAAGTTCCCTGTCTTCCTTTATGGCCGAAAGAGGAGGAAGAGAGGAAGTGGGTGGGTGCAAGAACTTGGCCTCATCATGACTTGGGACAGGAAACTTAGGGCTGCAGAGTATTGGCAAAGTTTTGATTTGTTTTGAAACACCTTTTTTTCCAGTTAGAGATGTCTCTGTGCGTGTGTGCCCTGCTCTTTCTTTCTCCAGATCTGCCGAAATACTTGGGATTGGTGGAAGATCATAGAACTTTCTGCAAGTCTATTAATACAAGCTTCATGGATGGAATCTATAAAACAATGCTAGTAATATATAGGACCACTGATTTCCATCAGTTTGTACTGAAAAATGTGACAAACTAGGCCCACATTTTTGGCAAAGGGTAAATGACATAAAACTTTGATTCAAAAATTGCCAAGAGACACTGCAGCGATCTCTTTATTGTGCTTCTCTACCAAGTCATCACTTCTCAAATAAATCATCTGAGGAATAAATTCCTATATTTTAACCAATAAAATAATCATATCTGTTTTTAGATGCTAATTTTCTTCCTAAGAAATTGTAAGTAAATGAATTATCTTGAATGCTGCATGTAATGCTGTTTCATGGAATAATTCTAGCAACTCATAAAACTTCCATGTATTCTAATTCCTAAGGCTAAACTGTCAACTGTCATCTTGGTATGGCTACTAGCATTTCAGATCCAACTCGTGAAAGTTTTAGTAACTTTTATCAAGTTTTAACATTTTTTTTAAAGCAAGATAGAGAAGCAAATGACATGCTGGGCTAAATTTTCTATTCCAAGTTATCTATATGCTGCAAATACTTCCTTATTAGTAGGATGCAGGCAACAATAAGTTGGCCTACAAGATAGCCTCTAATGTATAGGTTGTAGTTTGCACAGTGAATTGCAAGGTTGTGGCTTGCAATGAGTAATCTTGCAGCAATCCTGGATGTATTTGCAACCCATTGGCCAAAATGTGCCCCAACTGATCAGTAATGCCCTTACTGTTAACAGGGAATTCTGCAGTGGCACAGGCACAACTAAGGCTGGTAGCCTACTCTAATATTAAATGGGCTATTTGACAACCTTGATTGACCAAAGCTATAATGGGCAGCAAAGGTCAATATTTGCATGTCCATCTGATGATGACCAAGGCTTCTGGAAGATTGAAACTTAGAATGTAAGAGGAGTACCAGTAGAGAACCTGAATTAACAAATGAAATGGGGAAAAAAAGCTATGTTGTGCACCTGCAACATTAGAGAAAGAGGAAGGATGTTATCATGGATTAAAGAGTCTATAGGCTAACCAAGGGACTCAAATTTGAGTGCCCTGTGAGTCAGATGTAATCTCTTATGGACTCTCTAAACACAGCCAGTCTCTCTTTGAATGAGAGCCAGGGGCCATCTGGATACCCAAGAATGAATGCTGATGATTTCTTGAGTATCTTCTTAGGGAAAGCTCTTTCCAAATACATGGTTTAAGCATAACTCTAACCCTGGATACATGAAAAAGGAAGGAAAGAAAACCATGACTGATTTTTTTTTTTTTTGGTTTATGACAAAACACTGAGAGAATTAGTGAAGGATATAAGAGTGATAGAGAGTTAGTTTGGTGTAGTGGTTAAGGCACCAGGCTAGAAACCAGAGATTATGAGTTCTAGTCCTGCTTCAGGCACAAAGTGTTGACTCTGGTGACTGCCTGGACAAGTCCTTGCAGTTTTCTTGGCAAGGTTTTTCAGAAGTGGTTTGCCATCACCTGCTTCCTAGGGCTGAGAGAGAGGGATTGGCCCAAGGTCACCTAGCCGGCTTCGTGCCTAAGGCAGGACTAGAACCCACGGTCTCCAAAATTGCACCTTGGCTACTGAGAATATACTCTATGGGCAATAATCTGAATTAACAGCTTCTCTGAGATTTGAATTAGATGTTTCCATGTAACACTCTTAGCTAAATACAGGGTATTGAATAAAATTGAACTATAACAGATCTCCAATCCCTAGCACTACTGCCATACCTGAACAGCCTGATGGGGGTGCTTTACACAAGAAGAAATGAAGCAGTAACAATGAAGACAAATGCTAAAAGATTTCTAGTGTAAATTAGTTTCTGAAGCACCTGGAAGACCATGTCCCTCATCCCTGCCATCCTACAAAGATATAACGTTTTTAGGGAAAAAAGTTCCTCCATGGGGAACCACAAGAGTTGCAAACGCACCAGACTGTCGACTTCGAGTGTGAAAAGTCTGTCCGACACATCCAGTAATTTGCAGGAGTAGGCAATATTGATGGCCGTCTCACGTTTGTCTCCTGTTAGCATCCAAATGTTAATCCCTGCTTTTCGAAGTGCCTCTATGGTTTCTGGAACACCTTCTTGCAATCGGTCTTCAATTCCACTGGCGCCTATGACAAAAGCTAGGTTCATTATGTCAAAGAATAGATTTTTTAAAAAGAAATGCAAATAAATATAGAAAGTATGCAGCAGGCTGGAACAAATAAACATAAAGATGAGAAATGTTCCTTTTCTCCTAAGAAAACATGATGAGATTTGAGAACCAGATAGGATTCCTAAACTGGACCCAGTATCCCTGCTACTGAAAGTTCTCGATCAGTCTAGAAAACAGATGGGTGGAGATCCATTTCTTAATTATTACAAAAGGCCTTCAAGGCAGCCTTTTATCCTGGTCCTGTGAATAGCTCATTCATGAGGCAGTCCTTGGCTTATTCTGTTTTCTCTGCAGATTTTGATTTTGACCCAACTTCTTTTATCAAGACTGTCACCATCTACATGGTTTCCCTGCACTATTACAATATGTTTCTGTATCTCTTATCAGTAAGAATGATTTTAATGCTGTAATGTGGTGATTTACATCTGCTTTATGTTTCCTCCATCTGCTCCATTCACTTATTCATTTAGACTATTTATATGGCTGCCCATCTTGTAGCAATGACTCTGGGCGATATACGATGATTAAAAACCAACAATAAAAATAAACAATCCGGATAACAAATATCCAAGGTTGCACAAATCATATATCAACTACAATAGAGAAAAGGACAATAAAAACTAATCGATCAGCAGAGTTCACTCAACCTCCTGGCCCAAATGCTTGGAGGAACAGGCGGGCCTTTAACGCGGGGCCGGGGCCATTCAGATCTTTGGAGGGATGTGGTTCCATAAGGAAGCACTGCAGCAAAGAAAACATGACTCCTGGGTCTAGCAAGATGACATTGCTTAATGGCGGGGACCTGGAGCACGCCCTCCTTATTATCTCTGGTGGGGTGAGCAGAAAAATTGGAGACAGACAGGTAGTTCTGCTAATAGCCTGCCCTGTGCTATTTGATCTTATTTGATCCTATCTGATCTTAGGCAACAAGGAAAAGACACTCGTGGTTGCTCTGGGGTGAGCTGCTTTTCCTAATCTATGCCAGGTTAGTTCATATTAAGGTCTTGATTGTTCATGATCTGATTATGGATGAGCAAGCTGACATACAGTAATATACATTATCATGAACTGGGTGGGATAAACTATCTCTTCTCAATTGTGCCCCTGTGGACTTTTGATATAGCACCAGCATAGATATGAGGGGTGGAAAAGGGCTGTGCTAAATCTGAGCAGACACTAGTTCACTATTGAGTTACTCTGTAGTGAAGATAGGAAAGAAGAAAAAAAATTGCTACCGCCCTTCCATCTCCACATTGTTTTGCAGACATTTTTCAGATGGTCCATGGAAGCTGATGGTCCACTTTGAGGAAGACCTGACAGAACTCCAATTGCTTGTTTACTGTGGAGGTTGTTAGCATTGCTCAAAATCCAGTGCATAACCCTATTTGGTTTTACTGAGTGAGCTTTGTTGAAGTGAAAGCATCTGGGCATCGTTTGGACCTATCTGTCCAGCCACTTGCTCCTCCTGGCTGATGACAGCATATTTAGACTGTATAGAGATAGATAGAAGGAAACCAGGCATCCTTCTTTAAGAGAGGAAGATGCTGCACAGTGCAAACTGTCTGGGTAAGAGGTCTGGGTGGGTGATGGTTGTCAAATCCAAGCTCTTCTGGATGTTCTGGATCCAGTTCAGTTTGTCCTTGTTTTGGAGGAGGCACCATTTTTGCTGCTTCGGAGGATGACCTCTATTGAAGGAAAGGTGGCGGGGAAATCATCTTTACTGGTTTTCCTAGGGTTTTCGGTGGTTCTCATAATCATCTAATGCGGTATCCCTTTTGGGATACGCGGATGCTATTCCTGTTTGGACAGCCAGTTCCAAAGGTCAGTGCTACAGAACCTCTCCTCCTTCCTCTATCAGGGTTCCTCAACCTCAGCAACTTTAAGATGGGTGGACTTCAACTCCCACAATTCCCCAGCCAATTGTGGGAGTTGAAGTCCACCCATCTTAAAGTTGCTGAGGTTGAGGAACCCTGCTCTATAAGGAAGTCCTACTGTGAATTATTTAAGGCTTCATTTTGTCCCTTTGATCTTAGCACTAAAAACAGCGGGAGAGGTGTTGAAGTGCTAGAGGGGGTTAAGTGAAATGTGTCTGGATCTGAATCCAGCCCTCTCCCTTTTCATCAAATTCAGGTAAGGCGATGCTTGTCCTGAGATAATGCTTGAATTTGGTAAAAGGCTGAATAAAGAGAATCAGCCCAGAACATAGAGAAGTTTTATTAAAAGTTGGGTTCATCTACCTGCTCTAAAATGTAGTGGCACTTCCCCACCTAGGTTCGTAACTTGGTGGTCCTGAAAGATCCAGCCTGTCCTTTGAAGTCCAAGGGCTATCAGTGACGCAGAGTGCCCGGTCCAGCTTTGGCTAATATGCTAGCTACCATCCTATGGGGGGAGAAATGGCCTGGATAGGGTTATTGCCATATGTAGTACACATGGAACTATCTTTGAAGACATCAGCTAGTGTTGAGTGGCAATGACATTCCTCAACAGAAATGGCCCTTTTGAACATATCACTTCAGGGATAGGCCAACTACACAAGTTGCCAGTCAAGGTTTAGGTCCAAATAGTCTCTCAATGGCTTTTGACTGTCCAGCTTGAAGGAATCCATTTCTCACCTATTTCTGCCAATTGTTAAGATCACATCTTAACGGGGTGGTGCTTCTAGAAAAGAATCTTATTTCATTTCATTTCATTTTGATTTTATTTATTAAATCAACTTATATAGCTGCCCAGAGTCGCCTGTGGTGAGATGGGCGGCTATATAAATGAATTCAATAAATAAAATAAATTAATTTAATGAACAAATAAATAAATCTTATCCTGAACCAGGAAAAAGAATCTTTTCCATGATAGGCCTCTATCTATAACATGCCTTCCTTACAGAGATTATCAGCTGTTATGACTCCCGCCAAACTAGAACCTTTCCTTCCAGCAGGCAATTGTCCAGCATTTTTTTTTAAAAGATTTATATAGACTTTTATAATTGCTTTGCCTTTTATCGTTCTTGTGTCTTTTGTGTTTTATGCTTGTAGACCACACCAAAGGCATTTGCCAGCTGGACAAGACATAAACTACCTAATTAAATGCAAGAATTAATGATTAAACTCATGATTCAAATGATTTCAGCTGGCTGCAAAAATGCCTGGTACGAGACAGCAGCTGGTCATAATATATAAGTTAGCTGAAAATCTGCACTGCAGAATAATTGCCACGCTACAAGGAGAATATTGGGGTTTAGCTGCTGCTGTAGCTCTGGATACTAAAGGTATCTAAGCTGTACATCTATAATTGAGTTTCGCCCTTTCTGGTGACAGATGAGGGGGATAAAGTGGAGAAGCAAGTTTCTTTGAAGCCTACTTATGATGCCTGCTGGAAACAAACAGGCGAGACGGGTGGCAATACAAATCAAATAAATTCAAAAATAAAAAGAATACGCACATATCTGTGCACTTTTCTTTGGCTTCCAAGCATTGGAGGGAATATCACCACCTAATCGGAAGGGTCAGTCACCTAAAGGATTCACCAGCAATTGGGTTCCTTTCCTCAATTCGACATAATGATCTAAAATGGAAGAAGACGAGCTGGAGACACCGGGGTGCCCCATGGATCAGAAGGCTTCCCCGCATCTCAATGGACCGCCTAGTTTTATTCCTGCACTTCCAAAGCCAGCGTGGGGTATAATCCAAGGGGTAGACCACAGAGGGAAGAACTCTTCCAGTCTTTCTGGCCACTCCTACCACTTTCGTGGTTTAGACCACACCCAGATCATGTGCAGTCGAAAATGAAGCGACACTGAGATCACGGTGTTCCAGTTGGTGAAGTGCTCGGCCGAACCACCCTTCCTGCCTTCTCAGGAAATACGTTTAGTTCCTCACATGCAGTACATTGTCTTTTCCGTCTGGCTTCTCTCGTGTCTTATGAAGTCAGATGAGGTCCAGAACGCTAGTCAGAACTAAACTCCTCCTTCAGGCACACACACGTTGCATCCTGCCTATTTGATGGAGCTCTGTGTTGAAGTGGGGCAATTGTACCAATGCAGTATCATGAGTGGTCAAATCTTAATCTACAGTTCACAGATGCAGGTTACCATTAAGTTACAGTTAAGTTAAAGGGTAAAGATGAAGACTCTGAAGTTCAATTCCTGATGATTTTGTAAACAGGTCCATGTAGTTTTCTTGGCCAAAGTACTGAATTCTGATTCATCCATCTTCTTCAGGGATGTTCTTTCAACTTCTCAGTCTAACTTATGGCCCCGATTATTTCCCACCCAAGTACTAAACCTGTCATCCCCTCCTGCTTACATTTTTTGGAGCGAGATAATTACTGTCAAGTTTTGTTTTTAAACAACACTCTTGCTATAATAGAATAAGCTCCATTAAATCATATCCAATTTTTTTGGATGAGCTTTGCAACTAAGGATATGCAAAACGTTTTCTTTCAAAATACGTTTAGTGTGAAATTTCAGAAAATGTTCCGTTACAAGGGCAAAGCTTAATGTGTTTGCACGTTCTGTCTTTCTAGCTCAAAACAGAGAGGCTTCTGCTTCCAAACACTTCACGAATACTCCAAACAGTCAATTTTGCATTCAGAAGAGGAGGTTTCAGGAAATTTGGAGCTCAAAACATTTCAAAACAAAACATTTTGCACACAGATGCTAATTAGGACTGCTTCTGCATTTTTAAGGGTTTAGCATCACAGTTTTCTTCCCAACTCACCAAGCAGGGTTAGTTTGTCCTCAAGCCTCTCCGCTGACTCCAGGAGCAGCTGCTCTCGGCATTCGATGCTGCTTTCGGCCGCATATTGTCCTTTCAGCCACTCTTCATATTCCTCATCGCTCAGCACCTGAACGGCCCCCCCCAAATACACATCCCTCAAAATAATATTGTGGAAACACTTAACATCACAAATGATTTCCTCTTATTCATGGGAAAGCTGGCTTTGCTGTGAGAACGTATACTGTAAATGTGTACATGTAAATAGGCTAAATAAATAAGCCTACAATACTGAATTACACTCGCTTTTAAAAAGTACTGGCTGTTTGTAGATGGTCAGAATTCATGGTATTTGGCATTTCCAAATCTGAATATTGGTAAAAGTCATCTTCTGCCCCCTGGCTCCAAAGGAGCATCGCCAAGAAGATAGCAGAGCAAAAAGTTGCAATGTAGGAGGGAGTTCCTCTGCTCAGGCCTTAGCAGGCCAAGAACAGGAGACCAGAGGTCCTCAGGGAGATGAGAAGACAGTTGCAAGGAGAAAAGAAGAAAAGGAATACTTTTTCCCAAGGGCACCTGCAGGGGTTCAAAAACATCAAGATGGCAGCCAGAACCATACGATTGAAGCTCCACCCCTTTTTTACACGCATGAGGGGGGCTTCAACCACACGGTTGCAATCGTCACCTTGACTTTGTTGGTCCCTTCCCCACAGACACCCCTGCTTTTTCCTTTCCCATCCTCTCACAGTCCTACACAGAGCTAAACGATTGGAGTCAAGGACTGCTTTCACAAAATTAAACACTTTACAGGTAGTCCTTGCTTAACAGTGGTAATTGGGACTGGCAACTCCATCGCTAAGCGATGCAGTCGTAAAACGTGGCATCATGTGACCATGTCACTTAGTGATAGCAGTTCCGGCACTTCCTGGTTGCCATTGTTAAGCAAATCCTTGTGGGTCGTTAAGCGAGGAAGTTATGTGGTCGCCATTTGCGACCTTCTGCTGGCTTCCCCACTGACTTTACTTGTCGGGAGCTGGCAGTGTATGTTGCAAATGGGAACCATGTGACCGTGGGATGGTGCAATGTTGTAATTGTGAGCGAGTTGGCAAGTGCTCGAATCATGATCACGTGACCGTGGGGATGCTGCAATGGCCGCAATTATGAGGACCCATTGTAAGTTCCCCTCATTAAGTGCCATTGTAACTTCGAATGGTCACTGAGCAAGTGGTCATTCAACAAGGACTACCTGTACACCAGTTTTTTTTCAAACTTGGCAACTTTAGGATGTGAGGACTTCAACTCCCAGAATTCCCCAGCTAGCATTGGGAGTTGAAGTCCACACATCTTAAAGTTGCCAAGTTTGAAAACACTGTTTTACACTGATTGCTTAGTGGGGGCTTGTGAAAAATGGGAAAGACAAAGACTTCCTTCCTTCCTTCCTTCCTTCCTTCC